ATAGCTTGAGAGTCTCCTGTTCTAATAGGGGGGCAGTTCAATATAGTGCTAAGCTCACTTTGGACTAACTGCCTTGGCTGTCCATACCTCTGCTCTAGCGCCCTCATTGCACTAGTATAGGGAGTGCGGTCGTGGATGTAGCGCTTGGCTACCTGTAGGGCGCTGGGATACTCTAGATGATCTAATAGGACCTGAAACTTGTAATCTTCTCCCAGATGAGAATGTGGCCCTAAGGTGCTGTCCAGTCCTTTCTTTAATAAGGCGAAGTCACTCTCTCTGCCCGTCCTGAAGACCACCAGCCTAGGCTTTGGAATACCATATGAAGATGCCACCATCATCTCCATCAGGTTTGGTAGAGGCGCTCTGGCTGATTCAGATGTGGCAACCCGTGGATTATATTGTCCAGCAGAGGAAGATGATGAATAGTCACTTCCTGACGGGTCGGGAACGTGGTGGTTGCCAGCTGGATCAGGCAAAGCTTCAGGATGCAATATGTTGGATACAGGGTGCTGAGCGTCTGCCCACTGTGATGGCTGGGTCACAGGTTCTGGTGGACGTGGAAGTTGGTAGGTCGGATCAGCAGGACGCGGTGGTTGCTGCAAGTACACAGGATTAGCTGGAGGTCTGGCTTGGAAGACGGGAGCAGCTGGATGTAACGTCTGCCGCAGACTCACTGGATCCCCAGCCTGTGATAGCTGCTGTACTGCATGATAAGCACGTTGTCTTGGCTGATTAGCTGAGGCTGCGTGATGTGATATCTGCACCTGGCCTGGCCGGTTTATAAGGAGATGATGTTCCGATCTCTGGTACACGAAGGGTGTAGCGGTGCATCGGCCAAGTCTCCTGAGTGGCGTTGATGCAGCTACATAAGTGGCAGGGTGCAGCACTGGCTGAGTGTGAAAACTCACTTTACGAGGAGGTGATGGAGCAGATGCCCTCACTGGCGTCAGCATGTTCGCAGGTGTTGTGGTGTCCTGCTCTGGTACAGGTAGTGGCTCTATGGTGCGATGTATCACCTCACTGCTAGGTTGTGAAGCTTGCTCCAAACGCTCCACCCGCTTCAGTAATGTTCCATGAGTGTCCTCCATAGACGCTTGAAGGTGATTCATGGTTTGGAGGACACTGTTCCATGCGGATTCCATCCTCTGCCATTTCCCTTCCTCTTCATTGTCAGAGCTACTGGAACTACTTGGAGCTCTAGATGGGTTGGGTGGCTCAGTTAGGTTGTGCTCATAGTCCACCAGATATCCCGGGAGTTTCCTCTCCCGTTTTGGACGGGGGCTACTCGATGCACCTCCATCCTGAGGGTTTTCCATCTCATGAACTCAGCCAAGGCAAATCCGGCTCGAAGGACCACTTGTACTGAATGTTTGCACTGATTGCCGATCACGCTTCAACTGAGTTGTCCTCTGTCAGAAGGATTGGCACTCCACAGTGATGTAGTCCAAGTAGTTTTATTAAAGAGGTAGCAGATGACATCAACAGGCTGTACAACATTAGTGGTGAGGCAATTGCATTACCATCTATGAATGCAGGTAAAGGGAGTGTGAGTGTGCAGGAGTATGTGGGTGTGGTAATATGATAAACACGCACACCAAGGGTAACTCACACAGGAACGCACGAGAAAAACGCTGATCATCCAACACCTTTCAGCTGTGCTGAACTGCGCTGAACACGTTCCCAACGGGAAGTACAGATACCGAGGTGCATCATGGGTAATGTAGTCTAAACGGTGTTCACAAACATTTTTCCTCTGGAAAGCGGACTTTTAACAGAGGCATTAATCACAAGTCTGACAAGCTTTGATTGAAATACGACAGAGACGGATTACACAAGTCCAATTTTTAGGAAAACTTCATCCTCCTACCATTTTTAATCCCTTTGTAGCCGTGTTTAAAAAGGTGGGATTGATCTATAAACCTCCGACCCTCAGATTCTAGATTTGAGACTGAACGTACCAAATGAACACTCAAAAATAAATTTAAACACAAACTATGTCAGACAACCCTTGAAAGAACTTATTACGGCCAAGCCTGAGAGGTAACACGTCAAACAGATAAATTCTAAAAACCTGTTCAAACAGGTTGACCTTTACCAAAATAAATCAGACAAGAGGTGAACAGAAACATGGACAGCGTGCAGCTCTCCTATTTACACACAAAACGTCATTGTCAGAGTCAGGCTTGTAAGGCTGGATGCTGATTTGCAGACAGTTGGCCTATTTGTTAGAAATATTCTTCCAGGTGTCTTTTGCTCCTCATTGTATAGACTGTGACTTTGAGTGTCAGTAAAAATCATTTCAGTTCATTCTCTCAGAAGACAAATCAAATGTTCGATCAACACAAATTTATTCTAGTGCCAAGAGACTGTTGGACCAGACCGGACTGGACCGCAAGCTGGAGCTCTATCTAGCATTCATTCACCCTGGAACGTGAGTGCTCCAACATTCTTCTTTGTTGTCCAAAAAGGATGTTAGCAGTAGCTTGGACTGGTGTTAGCAGCTCAGGCTAGTGTTAGCGGAAGCTTGGGATATTGTTAGCAGTAGCTCAGGCTAGCATCAGCCGTAGCTTGGACTAGTATTAGCAGTAGCTCTGGCTAGCATTAGCAGTAGGTAGGGCTAGTGTTAGCAGTAGCTCTGGCTAGCATTAATTCAATTCGATTCAATTCAAAAATACTTTATTAATCCCAGAGGGAAATTAGAGTTTCAGTACACACAATTCTGAGATCAGACATACATACATAGACTAATGACAAGAATTGGTGACTGTGGTCATTTGCAATCCGAGTCGCGCTACCGTAATAGATCAAGAGGGTTTATATGAGGATAGAATCAGGGGGAGGGAAAAAAGGCACTTAAGAGTTACCCTCAACAGAGAGGGTAGCTTTGCTATGCAAAAAAACACCTCAGACAGATATGCACACAGACTTCAGACATTACACAACATAACTGTCCACTAGGTGGGGAGGTAGCGTTGGGACTCCCCTCACTTCAGTGCCTGCAGCCGCAAGAGCAGCGCTCATCACCTCCGTTTGGACAGGGGAGGGAAATAATGGGTTAGAGGGCACATTGACTCCTAGATACGGTTCCACGGCCTTCACCGGTCACAGTCCCGCCCAGGCTGGGATAGGGAGAAAGAGCGACGGCAACATTTCACATTTCTTCTGTGGGGGAAGTTATCACTTCAGCCTCACAGGCTCCAAGGGCACCAGATTCAGATAAGAATTGTTTTGGGGACAGACAGAGATAATTTCCTCTCTGCCTTAGTGTTCTGTTGGTCTTCAACCCCTCTAGATCCAATAATGGCCTATTTAATCTATCCCAATCCGTGCTGATCCGTCAACTCGCTCCTTGATGGAATCCACCTTTTGTGCCAGAGCCTGAATCTCAGACAAAGTTCCAAGCTTACGACTCATCTCGACAATTATACGAGTTTGTGCGTTCAGAGCACGATGCATTCCATCCCTGAGCTCTGGGATTGAGCCAATATTCCTCGAAAGCTCATTAATTTTTAAGCCAGGTAACCGCCCAGGCCAAACAGCAGGAATACCGACACCAAAACGACAAATATCCAAACATCTTCAGAATCCTCTACAGACAGTTGAGAGAGGCAGATCAGGTTCCACTGTTTCCAGGAGTCCATGATATACCCAGCTGGCTCTGTCCCAGAGGGGCATCCAGGAGCCCCTTCTCCCGTTCTCATTGTTGAAAAAATGTTGTCAATTGAGTTGAGAGACCTACTGATCAGATCCATTTTTAATCATTTCCAGTTTCCAGAAAAAATGCAGAAAGCGCCGTGCACACAAGACAGGACAAAGAGCCTTGGGATGAGGAGGGAGGGAGAGGAGAAAAAAAGCATCTGTACTCTCCAAGAGCCGGAAGAAGAAGTAGTGAGAAGAAGCATTAGCAGTGGCTTAGACTAGTGTTATCAGTAGCTCAGGCTAGCATTAGCAGGAGCTTGGAGTAATGTTAGCATTAGCTAACGTGACGGTGGCACAGGAGTTAAGTGCTCGCCCCGTAAACGGATGGTTGCAGGTTCGAGCCCCGCTCAGTTTGTCACTGTTGTTGTGTCCTTGGGCAAGACACTTAACCCACCTTGTTTGCTAGTGGTGGTCGGAGGGACCGGTGGCGCCAGTGCTCGGCAGCCTTGCCTCTGTCAGTGCACCCCAGGGCAGCTGTGGCTACATCGTAGCTCATTCCCAAAAGGGTGTGAATGTGTGTGTGAATGGGTGAATGGCTGATTATGTTGTAAAGCACCTTGGGGGGTTCCAGGACTCTAGAGGGGGCTATATTAGATACAGGCTATTAACCATTTACCAGAGTGTTAGCAGTAGCTCAGGCATTCAATAATAGTAGATTGGACTAGTGTTTGCAGTGGCTCTGGCTAGCGTTAGCAGTAGCTTGGGATGGTGTTAGCACTGGCTTGGGCTAGCATTGGCAGTAGCTTGGACTAGTGTTAGCAGTAGCTCTGGCTAGCTTTAGCAGTAGCTTGGGATAGTGTTACCAGTGGCTTGGGCTAGCATCGGCAGTAGCTTGGACTAGTGTTAGCAGCAGCATTGGCTAGCTTTAGCAGTAGCTTGGGATAGTGTTACCAGTGGCTTGGGCTAGCATTGGCAGTAGCTTGGACTAGTGTTAGCAGTAGATTAGGCTAACATTGTTTTGCGATTACTACGACTAAAGTTTACTGTATATATTGTTGAAGTTGAAGTGGGTTGGGACACGCAGTGTTAAGGAGTGCCTAAGCTAAGCCTAAGCTTCTGACCTTCTCCAGAACGAACCACTCCTCCGTGGCCAATACAACTTTACTAATTTACATAGGAAACATGCTCAGAGATGGCCACCCCAAGCTGCCTGTATTAAACAACAAGGTAAATGTGGTTTTGATTTCTACGACACCTTTAAGGAAATTTCATTATTAAATATGTAGTACATGCGCATTCAACTTCAAAGCACTCAGCGTGTGTAAGTGTATGTGTGTGTGTGTGTGTGTGTGCAAACATACCTGCCACATTTCTCACACTCCTCCATAAACATGTTTCCATGAAGCTCTGATAACTTATCCCTAAAGAGGAACAGAACACAAACTAATTATTTTTAAAGCAAATGGAATAACTTTCTTTGTCCACCTGAGCTTTCATAATCTCTTGATTTATCTGCAGATTGGTAACAGGTAGTTTAGCCAACAAGCCGTCTTATGTTTTGATAACTTCCTCTGAGAACTGCTTCTTCACTGTCTGACCTCATTTCAGAAAACCAGATTGAGGGAGGAGGAAGAGCTACTTAAATGGCTTCCAGGAAAAGCAAGCCCTCGAATCTGCGTAACGTATGGGTGTATCTACAGAATAAAAAATTGGATGTCTCAGCCTTGGGCTCAGTCCAGCGTTGCTGAATATTGCTTCGTCAATCCAGAGCGGCGGTGCCGTTACACCTGTCGATGCAACGCAGCAGCCTCCAATTCAAAACAATAACCCACAACCCAACACTTACCACTTTTTCCATCCACTCCCTCTCATTCAACTTCAAAGCACTCAGCAGAACACCATCAGTGAAATCCCTCAAACGTAACAGACACTTGCGGTCAGAATTATCATTAGTTTCTGCTTCTGTTCCTCGGCTGTACGCCCAAACCTTCGAAAACTTTAAAGGTTTCTTTAGTGCTGCGGTTCTTCTCAACCTTCTTCAAAAGCTCTCAATGGGAATATAGGTCAGGACTTTTGGCTGGCCAATTTATATTTAAAAAAAAAATCCATCATTTCTTTTGTGATGTTTGATACATGCTTCAGGTCAGAATTTTCTCCTCCAAAGATGCTTCGGTTCCTTTTTCTTATTTTAAAGTTTGTTTTAAATGAGTTTGAACAGGAAAGTGGATCAGGACAAACAATCCAATCCTGGTCAGCTGTAACGGGTTCCAACGTCACATCTTTCTTTTAATCCACTCCTAAAAGTGGGAGTCAAATATGAATTTCTTTGACTTGTTTCCTTCTCACACTCCTTTCACGTTCTATTTTTTGTGTGTTGAGTTGGCGTCCCGTTTCTCCTATGCATGTTTCATTGCAGAACTTGCATGGTATTTCATATAGGACTCCAAAACTTTGTTCCGATGATATCTTGTATGGTTTTGCTGGTGTGTTTATCATCACTATTATTATTATTTCTGTTATGCCTTTGATGTAAGGAAGGGTTATCACTGGTTTTGGTTCTTTGCTTTAGTGCATCAATGAACAGGGAACAGTGTATACACTGGACTGTTCATGGGACATGGTCATTGGCGAAGAGGGCGTGGGCAGTAGAGCGCGAAATCGCCTTTAGCTGCCCGTAGATAAACAGAGATAAAAGTGACACCACCAACATCGGCGACGCTCTGAGGAACGCTACAGATGAAGCTGAAACTTGTCAGCTAGAAGGTAAATAGCACATCTCTACTACTCTGTGTTCACAAAAGAACCAAATGATGGATTTGGATAACAAGCACAGGACCAACTTAACAGAGATGATGTTAGTCATTTTTAACACATCACTACCTGTCTGATGAGTGAAACTTGGCCAATATTAAAACCAATGTTTACTTCCATCTAGTTGTTGTTTGCATGTTTAACTAAAGCAGAAAAGCAATGTAGGTCACTTACGTGGTGTAGACAGCAGAGGGAGATATAAATTTTTAACATCTGTTATCGACCAGAACAGTAGCATGACTAAGTGATATCGTTATTGGCCCAAGTTTTCATATCAGTGTATTCCTGCTTAATTTGTTATCTAAAAACAAACCAGCTTTATTTATGTGTTCACGTTTGCCCATACAGTTCAGTTTTCAGGAGATGCTGAAAAAACTTTAAAGATTCAACAAAAGAAGCCAGAACGTAAATCTCCATAGTGTTGGAGAGTGACTTAGTCTTCAAAATAAACATCAATGTTTTTCTAATGAAACAAACAAACCAAGCCCGCCACACGCGTCTGATGCTCACCGAAACATTCAGTTTTTTCATAAAAGAAGTAAACGTTTGTTATTCTAAAATTCAGCAAAGTATTTTTTACTCAATTTCGGAATTAGTAAGTAAGTAAGTAAGTAAAGTTTATTTATATAGCGCCTTTCACAGATATAAATCACAAAGCGCTGTACAACATGAGTAAAATCAGGGCAAATACCTCAAACCAATAAAAACATCATAAAAACAATAGCAGTGGCAACAATAGTAACCAAAATCAGGAGTAAAAACAAAGTCAAGGTGTGAACAAGAACAAAGCCATCTTTTAGAATATTTAGCGGGGGAACGCCTGGATGAAAAGGTGAGTTTTAAGATGTTTTTTGAAGACCTCTACAGATTTCAAGAGACGGAGATTTGAAGGCAGACTGTTCCAAAGTCTGGGGGCAATAGACCGAAAGGCCCTGTCCCCTTTGGTTTTTAGTCTGGTTCGAGGAACAGCCAGGAGGTTTTCAGATGTGGATCGGAGGTTCCGTGAAGTGGTGCGTGGGGATAAAAGCTAAGATAAATAGCTTGGAGCCTGGTTGTTAAGAGCTCTATAGGTCAGCACTAAAACTTTAAACTGTATTCTAAATTCTACCGGGAGCCAGTGGAGGGACTGTAAAACTGGAGTGATGTGAGCTCGTCTGCTGGATTTGGTTAGGAGTCTGGCTGCTGCATTTTGGATGGCTTGAAGGCGTGAGAGGGAGGTTTTGCTGAGACCAGTAAAAAGAGCGTTACAGTAGTCTAAGCGTGATGACACAAAGGCATGGATTATTTTTTCCAGATCTGCAGTAGAAACCAGTTTACGGACTTTTGAAATGTTTCTCAGTTGGAAGAAACAAGAGCGGGAGATGGTTTTGACGTGTGAGTCTAAACTTAAAACCGGATCAAAAATAACTCCTAGGTTTCTAATGATGGCCTTGGCTGATGGGCAAAAGGAGGCAATTTCCTGCTCGATTTTTGGTTGAAGTTCCGGGGGTGCAGATATCAGCTATTGTGTTTCATATTGTAAAAGATCACTGAAATAGACCAAATAATTCAGTAAACAAATGTTCGTTTTAGCCTTATTTCAGCATTTGTTAATTCATTTAATTTGGAAAATAATTTAAAAGTGAAAAAGGAAAGATGGAGCGTGAGATCGATAGGTGGATTGGTGCTGCGTCTGCAGTGATGCAGGCGTTTTACCGATCTGTCATGGTGAAGAGAGAGCTGAGCCAGAAGGCAAAGCTCTCGATTTACCGTCTGATCTACGTTCCTACCCTCACCTATTGTCCCGAGCTTTGGATAGCGACCGAAAGAATGAGATCGCGGATACAAACGGTCGAAATGAGTTTTCTCCACAGGGTGGCTGGACTCTTCCTTAAAGATAGGGTGAGAAGCTCGGTCATCCGGGAGGGGCTCCGAGTAGATCCGCTACTCCTCAGTGTCGAGGGGCACGTTGATGTGGTTCGGGCATCTGGTTAGGATGCCTTCTGGATGCCTCTCTGGTGAGATTTTGGGCACGTCCAACTGGGAAGAAACCCAAAGGAAGACCCAGGACACGCTGGCGGGACTATGTCTCTCACCTGGCCAGGGAACACCTTGGGATTCCCCCAGAGGAGCTGGCCCAAGTGGCTGGGGAGAGGGAAGTCTGGGCCTCTCGGCTTAGGCTGCTGCCCCCGTGACCCGACTCCAGATAAGCGGCTGAAAATGGATGGATGGATGGATGAATATAAAAGCAAGTCTGCACGTATTTTACAGCAAAACTATTTCAGAAAAGTAAAATTTGGGCGCAGTAATAAAATATGCTCTGGAACACAGATTTACTGCAGTTTTAAAGGTCTGATGTGTCTCCCACTTCCTGGTGGTGGTTAAGTCTCCAGACTCTTTCTGAAGCCAGTGTTCGTCTCTTCTGTAACGATGGGTTGAAAACTCAAAGTAAAACCATAAGCACCAACTATAACATCTGAACTGAACTTAAATAATTGTATTCCGGTCAATCGATCGTACGTTCCACATAATGATTTTGAATCTACCTTGAGCGGAGTGGTGGGATACAGCTACAGAATGAGGTTACCTGGGGAAGCCCGATCGAACGTGCAGACCATCTACATTCTGGCTGATGAGATACTTGAGGTATCCGGCCCGCTGCAGTCCCAGGAGGGCCAGGTGAGTCAAACTGGGGCGCGCATCTTCAAAGGTGGTATCAAAGTGCGGCGACTCACCCTTTTCCTCTAAAGTCCACACTCCCTTGGGACCCCTGAAGAGAATACATGGAGCACGCATTAAGGGGATTGGAAAGGGGAAGAAACATGTCTGCATTCTGAATTTGTTATTAAAGGAGTAAAACCGTAACAGGATTGGAAATGTGTGTAAACATGTTGTCGAAAGCTTTTAGGCTAATCCCAATGAAAATATGAAAAATTGATTGAATTTTCTCCTTCTAGATAAACTTTGAAGATACAAAATTATTCTAAGAGCACAAATATCATAAGCAGCAACTGAGATGTTGGCAGTTGTGTTTCTTTGTTTAACAGGACAGTTTAGGTGTCTTGACTGGACTCCCGTGTCTATGCATCAGACGAGGGAACGCACCCTGTCAGTCCTCAAACGCGAGAGTAAACAGACTCATCTCTCGCTTTCAGTTTGAACTTCCAGCTCAATCTTTTATCAGCGGTTTGGTTTAATGCCTGCTCAGCAGAGACGAGTTCAAAGGCTCGTCAGCGGCGAGGCATTGGGACGAATGTCACTCATCACTTACGTCACATATCGCCATGGAAAACACAAAAACAGACTGCAGGACAATGAATATCAGTGCATTCACACACTTTGATGCCGTCAATCATGTTAACCTGGGGGGCATGAACGTTGTGCACACCTCTGGCAGGAATGCATTTTGCATTAGAGGGAACAGCGCGTATACGGTAACCTTGGTTTTAATGATGCAACCTCCAGGGTCACACCCAGCTGACTGACAGGAAGATCAATCGAATATTCATCTGTTCCACATCCCTAAGCATGTATGTGTGTGTATAAATATAAACAGAAATAACACTTCACATATGATTTTGTAGAGGTTTACTTTGTAGGGCAAGGGGGAAAAGCACATCTTGGTGTACTGAAGAACATAAAAGATGCTACTTTGTTCCAGGTGGATTTGAAGCAAACACCACCCCCCTGTGCTGAACGACGGTACTACAACAGAAAGAAATGCTTTTCACGTGCAGTCAGGTATTCTCTCTTGGTTATTTGGTCAGCTCTAATATCTAATTCAGCACCAATAAGAAATTAATGAGATAATAAAAAATTCCTAAAGTGAAGAATAATTTATGGAATTATTCATGTCAGCAGCAGGCAAATTCTCATGTATGACTTTCCAATGATTTGATGTGTACCAACTTCAGCTATGAGGGGTCTGACTTTTATTGCTGTACTTTAAAAGAAAACATATTATGACCTTCCTTATCAAGTTCTCATAGCTCTATGGCTGAAACAAAACCTTTTAATGAAGTTATTTTCACTAGATCCCTCTCACATGAGACAATTTCAGCAGTTTTATCCATGACCTTTTCAGTACCTTCCAGAATAAGTCATTTCAAGGCCCTGTCGCTTAAAGAAAACAAGCTAGAGCTGACCATGCCCACCCATCACCCACTCAGACATTCGGGAGGGGCTCGGGGTAGAGCCACTGTTCATCCAACAGCAGCTCATAGGGTTGTGTTGAAAAAAAAATCGATTCTCATAAAAATTCATGAGGATCAATTAGTACGTCCAAAGATGGATTTACCCAGTTTAAAGACCACTGAGGACTGTTTAAAACAGCTACAAAAGATTATTGGAATGGGACTTTAAGCACCAAAGATTCTTGAAATTTGAATCAATACCCAGCTCTACATGAGAGGTCATTCTTTGCCAATTTCCCCATTTGTGACATCACAAGAAGGACTTTTTGAAACTGCTTGTTTTAGAAACATATTTTCTGAAATCAAACACTGACAGAAAACAGATGGACGGGTTTTTATTCCCACATATGGAGTGTTTATAGAGGGAGTAGACATTCATATGGCAGCACAAGGATGCAAAAGATGAGTTTTGCATAATATGTCATAATATGTAAGGCAAGTTCTGAATGTTAATATTCAATCTATTTGAAATAAAACAAAAGAAAATGTTAGACCTTAATTCAAAATATCCACTTTATTTTATCTATGTAAAAATATAAATAACTTTAGCCTCAATAAAGTTTAATGGTTACAACTGAAATCACTAATGAACCAAAATGTTAATCTGATCATGAAAAATAAAGCATTAAAAAAATCTGCCTACAGCTAAATGAAAGAAAATAACCTTCAACAGTCAGGAGAAGTCTAAAAATGGATAATACATTATTTTATATACCAAAGAATCTAAAACTACCCAAGGAGCTGATGTGGAGTCCATCTCATGTTGAGTTTCTGGTCGTATACACCCTCTCATCTAAATACAACTGAAAAAAACTACAAGACAGCTACAATCTAAACTTTGTTGTATAGTTTGTGGATCTATGACATTTCTAGAAGTTGCTCTTTTTATACAATTGTCTCTGAAACCAAGTAAAATTATATTTAAAAACTATGCTTGGTTTACATTAGTGAACTAAGCTCACACTGATCTATAAATGGTAGACTTTGAACTATTAAAGGTCTGGAACGCTCTTTTAGTCATTACATTTGAAGTGGTTACTTATACTTCTCCATTAGCTGTGGAGTGTTGCAAAGAAATTCCTCACCAGTACAACAGAGGGTTGGTGGTTAGGGTAGGGTATTGCACTTTTCTGGGGTATCCTGTCACCATTACAGTCCTGTATCCAGTCCAAGATAGTGTATTTACTATGGAGTTTATATTGTGTTATTTTTGTATTTCAGATTCCTTTTAACATAGACAAATTTGTCCCTCATATTTCGCCACCTCTTCGTGTGTTCGCCACCTTTAAACCCACGTTTCCTGTCATTTCCATCCACAAATAAAACGGTTGCTTTTTACTCCTCTAGTCACGGGTGAATAAAACACTCACATTTTCAGAGATTTTCCACAAGTTATTCTTCAAGCTGCTCTGTGTCTGCTGCTAGATATCTTCGGCACTCTTTATTTTTTGAAGGACAAATGGAGGTGCTGTTGACAAATTTTAAAGAAATGGCCAATCACAAGCTTTACTCGCCTCAGACCAATCTTGAAACGGAGGCATTTGGAGTCAGTCATCCATGCTTTTATTACCTCTCGCCTGGACTGTGTAAACGCCCTCCTAGTTGGTGCTCCGGTCTCTGCCCTGAATCGGCTGCAGGTCGTCGAGAACGCTGCTGCCAGGTTCTTGACAAACATGCACTAACGTAGCTATATTACCCCAGTCCTGACACATCTTCACTGGCACCCTGTCATTTTCCGAGTACAGTTTAAGGTATTGATTTTTGTCTTTAAAGCACTCAACGAAGAAGAAGCTACAATGATGTTCTGCTGAGCTGTGGTGGCCTCATGGAGGGGGCCATCGTCTAGCACAATGCTGCTAACCACTCAAACATTCTCCCTCTCCTGATAATAACGTTTTGCTTTCCTTGACGTTGGATGTGCTACTGCTAGTTCATCCGTTTAATTATAGATCCACTAGGATAAATACAATAAAGTTTATCTCTCACCAAATAGAATATTTACTAAGAAATCACAATGTAACTATAGACACATTACTGTCTGTCTGTGTGTGTGTGTGTGTGTGTGTGTGTGTGTGTGTGTGTGTGTGTGTGTGTGTGTGTGTGTGTGTGTGTGTGTGTGTGTGTTATACTGAGCCAGGATTCTCTGGAGGTTTCTTCCTGTTAAAAGGGAGTTTTCCTCTCCACTGTCGCTTTATGCTTGCTTATTATGAGGATTGCTGTAAAGTCACTAGTCAGTGACTTGATGCAATTTGCTGGGTTCCTTATATAGGAAACATTATTTCTGATTGGCTTAATGAACTGACCTGAATTGGAATGTTTATTATGTGAAGTGCCTTGAGAAGACTCTTGTCGTGATTTGGCGCTATATAAATAAACTTGAATTGAACGACCTGTCACCTCCTAATCTCTCTGACCTGCTCACTCCCTATGTACCCACGCGCACGTTGAGGTCGGCTGGCCTCCTGCTGCTTTGCACTCCCCCGATGCGTTACAAATCATGGGGTGAACGAGCATTTGTACATGCTGCCCCAAAGCTGTGAAACTCTACCTATTACAGTTCGACAGGCTCCATCATTGGCGGTTTTTAAATCTCGTTTAAACACCCACTTCTACAATTTGGCTTTTACGCCGTGAGTCGTTTTGTTTTACTGTATTATTGTTTTGATGTGTTCTTAGTATTCCTCATGTTTTATTTGCTTTTATTGATCGGCATTTTTATCCTCTGTTGTTGCTGCTTTGATGGGTCGTGATTTGGTCCAGCCTGTGCAGCACTTTGGGCAGCTCCCATGCTGCGTTTTAAATGTGCTATATAAACAAACTATGGTATGGTAAGCTTTTAGTTTCTTGTCTTGTTCAACAGATGTTTAAATGGTAAATGGCCTGTATTTGTATAGCGCCTTCTTAGGGTCATACAACCCCCCCCCCCCCCCCCCCCCCCCCCCCCAAGGCATTTCACAACACAATCAGTCATTCACAAACTGGTGGGGATGAGCTACGATGCAGCCACAGATGCCCTGGGGTGCACTGACAGAAGCGGGGCTGTGGAGCACTGGCGTCACCGATCCCTCTGACCACCACAAGCAGGCAAGGTAGGTTAAGTGTCTTGCCCAAGGACACAATGACAGTGACAAACTGAGCGGGGCTTGAACCTGCAAACTTCCAATTACTGGACAACACGCTCTACCTCCTGAGCTACTGCTGTGTTTAGAAAAGTGGGCTCGACTCTGTCCGTCCTTGGCTGCCTGTTGGAAAGCCCTCTCAACAATGGATAATGGTGTTGCGTGTTTCTGTACTGACGCAGATGGAAAAATATAAATTTGGCTTAGGCCTTCCAAATCGTGAGCCATGGTGGGTGAGTCCATGGATGTTAAGAGTCAGTGTAATGTAGATCTGTCAGGCTTTTAAAAACCTAGCATTTCACCATCTATTTTCTATCAGATGCCAATGCAGGAGATAGGTGTAGGAGACTATTTTCATGTTCAGCCTGCATGAAAAACTCTGAGTGACCCATTGTAATCAGAAATACGATTTTAAAAAATGGTTTCCAGTGTTCCACACCTTTAATAACACAATACAATACAATTATTGATGTCAAGTTGTTGTTATTGTTGTTGTTAGCCTCAGGGGCAACATGCCGATTATCACTTGTAAGTCGCTTTGGACAAAAGCGTCTGCTAAATACATAAACATAAACAATACATATCTTCCATCATAAGCTGATTAAGTTGTTCAAAATTAGTTTGCACATATGAGAACCAAGATTTACTCTTTTACAGTCATAAAGACAAAATAAAAGCTAAGAAATCTACCAAATGAGGACCAGCTGTACCACTTTGATGAGTGGAAGATCCGAATTCAGGTGTGTGTGATCACATCATATGGAAAAATCCGCTAGAATGCTTTTAATCATTAGCAGGAACAAACATATTGTCTCTCACCTGAAGTCAGGGATGCCTGCTGAGGTGCTAATTCCAGCTCCAGAGTGGACAACCAAGTACTGAGATTCTTTAATCAGCTGAGCGAGGGCTTCCACTTTTGCTTTTAGCTCCTCCGGATTATCAAAACTCTGGCACAGATCAGAAAACACACAATTAAACAATTAGCAAGGGGGCGACTATTGTATACAACCGTGCCAGATGTGTGGCAACAACAAAAGAACACACCATCATCTATCCTCCACCGTGCTTCATAGTGTTTATGTTAAATAACAAAGAGGCTAACACAGCACAGACGGTCTGCTCTACAACACCGTCTTTATATTATTACTCTTAAACGAACCAAACAAAAATGCATTCTCAATGAAAGCGACGCTACGTTGCTAATTTAACTAGCTCTTTGAAAAGCTCTCGGAGCGATACAACACCTAAATGTTACCTCAGGTAGACCGCAAACACCCTTATCCGCGTAAGGCGATAGTCCTGCAGCGTAGTTCACAGACATGACTGTAACTGTTTATTTTTTTTTCTTTGTTTTACAAACTGTTCTTGTTTTATCTGTTGCGTATTTCTTCCAGCCAGGTTTAGGGTGCTTCGTTTGAATGACGACATCACTGTGCGCCGACACATGCTGCATTCAAGAACTTCAGGAATTAAAATACCTCAACGTGCGCTCCACCTTCGTTCAGACCAGTTTAGACTTGTGGTAGAGATTAGATTAGACCGTACAGCTGTTAGAAATTGAGTAAAAATTTAAATCCAAATTACACAATGAAACTGAATATATTAGAATAAAAAGTCTGATAATAAAAACTGAAAAATCCCACAGAACAAAACGGTTCGGTGCCTTTTAAAAATGGGATTTAACCTGATCAGACATTCCACAAACAAGGACATTTATTCTCAAACATATCTGTAAAATGACTACATTTAGACTAAAACTAAACAAAAATCTTCCATCTTCACCTGCAGAACAACTTTTAAAAAATAATTTAAATGACTCCAAGCTTTAAAAACAGTATGCATTTTTCTTTCAAATTAATCTTTATTTTTCATTTTTAAATATTTGAGAAAAAAAAACAGACAGAAAAGTAAAACCATATGGTGATCATTCATACGTGTGCATATTGGATTATGGTTCCTGTAGAAGCTGTGAACTGACACTGAAGACCACCGAAAGAGGAAAGGAGTTGCTTGTCTCAATTGTTTTGTCGCGTATAATTTTATCCTGAGTAATTCAATATGATGTCCCAATTAAAGTAAATAAAACAATAATGCTTACTGAAGACAAAATTACACATAGGACATCCACACACTCTAAAAACAAAATCAAAACCACTCTTACAAAAAAATAAATCAATAAAGGGGGCTAACATTTCATTTTCAGTTGTAGGGCTGAAGAAGTTTGATCTCGGTAGTACACACCGACACAAGACTACCTATTCCAGTGCATGCCGAACATCTAACAAAGAAAAACTAAAATCATAGGGCCTGCAAGAAAGCAAAAAGAGAAACATCTGGCAAAGCGTATTAAAATTTAATTTACACTCTGCTTTAGTTCTTTGGGTCCATCAGGCGGCTCAGAGAGCAACGCTGAGGAGAAATACAATTCTAATCAATAATTAGTTCTGCCCCTCTAACCTTCAACAACTTGATTATTACACAACTTTAATAACAAGTTCATTCAAAAAAACACAACCCCACACTGAGTGACAGAAAAACACATCCAAGATAAAAACCCAGCAGAGATCAATTTCATGTTTTAGTAAGAATGTTCATATGAGGAGCTGACTCAGCAGACTCCAGCAGACGGGACGGCCCTCCATTGCCACGAGTCTCTCATGACGTTGGGAAACAGTCCACCAATTTAAAAAATAAAAATAAAAAGACAAAAAGCTTTCAAAGAAGTTCTGGCATGCATGAGAACTTTGAACATACTGTCCATGAAAACTCCTCCATGTCCTGCCAATCAAAGACAGAAACTGTAAAATATGGGACACTTGCAGTCCTTTGTCCATCTTGAAGTCTGTAAAAGTTTCCACCACGAGGCGGACAACCAGTGAGACACCCCCAGTTACAATTAGAGAAATACAGCTATGCAAAACAGGTGAAGTGATGGTTTAAGAGTTTGCACCAGTTCAGTGATCATGAAACCCAACCAAAAATATTTCATACTAAAACCAGGACTGGATTTTGTGAGCAAAGTAAGCTTCAGTGTGATGAAAAGTTCTCGAAGTTGGAAAAAAAAAATTGGTGGCTGTGCTGGTGCAAAAGTGACCACAGTCTGACCCTCTCGCAACGAGGCATCAGTTTTAACCTCTGAGGCTGAAGGAAAAAAGCTCTTGTACTGATTTAGAAGGAAGCTTCCAATCTCTCTTGGTTGCAAACCAAGAATATCTGGCAACCCAGGAAGAGTTAAAGGATGAGCATTCGTCAGCTAAGTTGGGTTTTCTGACAACAAGAATGTCACGACTCCTCATTGCCCGAGTCATCCTCGTCATAGCAACAGTCGCCGTCTCCCCCCTCCACGTCATCGTCTTCATAGTAATAGTCATAGAAGAGGTCAGAGCCTTCGTCTGGCTGCGGGGCGCGTGTACGAACGCAGTATTCAGCTAGCGTGGTGGGCACCTTCACGCCATCTCGCTCTGCTTCTGCCTTTGTGGCCAGCACCTGTTTCCTGAAGGGATTTGTTTTATGAAGACTGAATTACTTTTGTGTGGATGGTGTGGCTTTGAAAATCTTTTAGAAATATTTGAGGTTTGTCTTAAATAACATTACACTAATGTTTACCTGATGATCTCTACATATTCCCGGTCCTTGCCTTTGCTGTCTCTCCATTTCCGGTACATGACAGAGGCGTCCACGTTGGCAGGGGAGAAGGTGTTGGGTTCATTTAGCAGCGAGATCACGCTCAGCAAAATGGTCCTAGAAGCAAAAAACAAAGGCAACTTAGTATAGAACCATAAGAAAATGACTTTAGGTGAATTAAAAAGTTTTAAACACATAAAAAATATTTTAATGTCACAAGCCTAAATTACTTATTTCATCTACTATTTTATTAGAATAAACAATGAAGCACATATTACATTAGGAACTTAAAGCTAATTGATAAAACATGTATTAAAAAAACCTGTCAGACCCATGTGCTACCACCCTACCAGAATCAGAATCAGAATAGGTTTATTGCCATTTTCAGTGAACAAACAATTCACAAACTAGGAACTTGCTTCGGCACTAATGTGCTACATATAACATGAATAATAAGATTAAAAATAGAATAAAATAGAATAAAATATAATAATTAAAAAAACTAGAATAAAACTTTCAGCTAAAATGGCAGGTAATGGTAACATGGCCGATAACGTGACGTTGTGTCGAGTACAGAAGACCAGCATGGTTGTGTGTTTATAATCTATTCACAAGTCTAACGGCAGATGGAAAGAAGCTGTTCTTATGGCAGGAGGTTCTGGTCCGGATGGACCGTAACCTCCTGCCTGAGGGACGCGGCTCAAAAAGTCTGTGACCCGGGTGCGAAGGGTCAGCTGTTATCCGGCCTGCACGCCCCCGAGTTCTGGAGACGTACAGGTCCTGGAGAGATGGAAGGCTGCAGCCAATCACCTTCTCAGCAGAGCGCACAATGCGCACTGACAAGCCTTTACATTACATTTATAAAACGTAGCATTGTGAGTAAGGTTTTAGTGAGTCGTTATGGGAAACAGAAAGAAGCTGCTTCTGTTTGTGGCCACAGGAACAGCCTTTGTGACAGACTTCCTGATCTACAGATCTAATGTGTCTGCAGCAAAAATGCAAATGAGGAAATTAGGTTAGGTTAACGGTATACCACCTGCAACAACAAAAACATAAGAGCTGCACTGCATCAAGTGACCGAAACCACCAGAGCTTACATCTTTGTAACACTGCTGAAGTTGTGTGATTTCGACTACTACAGATCACAGGTTTAATATCACTTGTGAGTGTGACATCGTTGTGGTGGCTTTTACATAGATAGTTTCTTGTTGAATAGAAATCTGGCTCTCAGTTGCAGAAAAAGATCAAAGATACATTTTTTTTGTGCACAGATTGCATAATGTGAGCCTGACAAATAACCTCAGAAGGAAGTTTATAATAAATAAAGATGCATTTTCTCCCTCTTCTGCAGCAAAATGCTGTCAAACTCATGCGATACACTTATTGTGAGTCACAATGAATTAAGGTACTCAAAGTATGTTTTTCATAGAAATAAACCAACAAAATCTTAGTTTGCATAGTATGATATTATCCAAAGATCAATTTAATTTTGTTTGTAAATAAGAGGAAGATGCAGATCTAGCTTTACTGCTGGCTGCTGCAGCCGGTGAAGAAGATGCTGCTGATAATGAATGTCATAAGATAAGAGTCTGCGCTGGGTGAACCATTGAAGTGATTGCAAAGTGGACAAAGATGGGAGGAGACCAGAAAGGAGAAACGTATAGAGAGAATATGATTAGAAAGAGAAATGCTAACCGAACATTCTGGGTTGGATTCCATCTCTCTGATGGGAGCTCTCCGCTCTGCGGGTCATCCACTGGAGGGTGCAGTATAGAAATACACACATCTCCATTCTACAAGAGGGGAAACAAATACATTCCATCATCAGATGCATTCATTCAAATTAAATACACTGTTATGAGTACACATACGTCAATATTTTACCTCATAGATGTTGGGATGCCACATTTTGGTTAGGAAGCGGAAAGCAGGAGGGGAGTAAGGATAATCTGTAGGAAACTTGATCCTTGCCTAGGGGGGAAAATGGGGACATCTTGTTATTTTTTAAACTACGGTCATTTCTTATATGTCATCTGATTTTAATTACAACCTTACCTTGAAATATCCCCCTTCATAATGAGTGTTTGGTGGTCCAAAAATGGCGACTTCCCAGTTGTATAAATCAGCCTCGTCCACCAGAGTGATTTTAAATCCCTCCACAGGCTCTTCCTGGAGGCTCTTCATTTCCAACATGAGAGCTTTCTGCGAACTAGCTACATGAGAAGGGTCGTGTTGCGCCATAATGATTTATGAAGCTTTCAGGATTATCTGGAGGCGACAGCTTTTGTTTACACGGCTAAGCTAGCCAAGCCAGCAAACAGCACAACTTCTCCTTTTTCGATGTTCGGAGGCAAAGAAAACAGGCCGACCGCGCGTAAAAGCAAAACAAAGACTGCGGTTGGTCTGTTCCCAAATTAAACGTTATTAATGTCAAAACTCAGTAATGTTATAAACGAGAAACACATTGTGTCTGAGAGGCTCAACAGCTTTGGCTGATTTACCTGGCAGAGCAGCAGCTGATATAAGCCTTAAATCTACTGTTAGCTAAGGAAAGCTAACAAGCTCCGTCTAATTGACCAGCTGGAGCGACGTAATTACCGCAAAAACACAAAATAACTACATAAAATGGCAATTTGAAAAGACAAACGCAAAAAGTCATGTGACACTACGCCAAACTATACCTCCAGTAACCATAATTGTTTCGCCCTCATAGAAAGCTGCGAAAGGAAATGTGTTGCTGAAAGAGTCCCCTGGTAAAAACAGGTAATGGCGCCCTGTTGTTGGCTGGGACTGGTAGTCTTCCATTCCGCGTTTGTTAGATTAAAAAAACGTGAAACCAAAATAACTGAAAACCCTGGTATAATATAATTCCTGTTCTTTTTATTTATGATGTTTTTATTTTTATTTTAAATGCCCAAAAAGAAAAATAAGTTTGTTTGTGCTTGCATTTTCCTGTTAAACTGTTTAAATACGGTAGCGGTTACTATGGACGAAATATCTATGACATCAATAATAGTATTTTATCACCGACATAACTAAATTGTAAGAAAAACAGTCCTGCGTTCATTTGTGGCTAATTTGTAGTTTATTAAGTGGCTGTGACGTTTTAATCTGCGCCAGTGCTCAGGAAAGCCCATTTAGGCTAGCTTTTCTTTGCCTTACTAAATACATTTGGATTTTTTATAAAAGAAATCTGACACGTAATTTTTTCTGTCATAGCACACGTTAGAGTATGCGAACATTAAACATAGACATATGTTTTTATTAGTGCGATTGTAAACGTTATTATAATCAACAGTGTTTCGTCGATGCCTCCTATTTACGCGACAGACTGCATTTAGGGCCCCGAAAAGAAGAAAGTTCGTGATGGGTTCGAAAACACGGCGTAGGTCTCGTTCCAGGTCCATAAGTCGGGGCAGAGATCACCGAAACAAGTCCAGAGTAAACAGGTCGCGATCTCCAGATGAGAGGAGAGGTCGCAACAGGTCTCCGAGCCCGAAAAGGACCACACTGGGTCGAGGCAGATCCAGCAGCGAGGCTTCGAGCGATGGCTCTCGGGCCCGACCTCAACATAGGGGCCGATCAGGGTCCAGGAGTGAATCGGAGGGGGACAGATGTCGAAGAGCGCCGCGCCACAGCAGCAAATCAAAGGATCGTGTATCGAGGTAATTTTAACACAATATGTTACAGTACGATAAAAGGTTGTGTCTGTTAGTTAAGTTTCACGCGTCCAACGTGAGATTCACACATTAACTTGTTTTTGACTCACGCAGCGCAAAAAATGAAGAAAGTCGCCACAGTCAAAATATATTTTTGTTTGTGATCTATTATTCAGAATAGAGAGTCGCTTGAGATTGGCAGATTTTCATCATCTTTCCTCCAATAAGTCATATTTATAGGTGGTGGGTGGGTGTAACCCACAGGTGGTTATTGCGACAGGTGTTTTTAAACACTATATTTACAGTAAATGTCTGCATGTAACTGTTTAGAAGCAGGTTGAAACGAATTTTACTTTGATTAATTATAAAAACCGTTGTAATCCAATAGATCATTAAACACTCCTAGATTTTATATGGAATAGGTGTTAAACACTGTAAAAAGCTTATAAAATGATCTCTTGATACTAGTCATAGTTTATACGTTTATATTTGTTTAATTTTCACACTAAATTCTATTTTTGTCTCAGTCCTGATTCAGATAATTCCAAGATGAGAAGGAGAAGGAAAGAGATGGAGAAACGCAGCAGTAGATCCCACGAGAGAAGAAGGGGAAGGTCCCAGTCTGCCTCTGATTCAAGTGATGCAAGCAGAGAAAGAGAAAGGAGGAGGAGAAGAAACAGTCCAGTCAGAGACAGACAGATGAGGGAGCGGTGGAGAAGCAACAGCAGAGACAGAGAAAGGACAAAAGACAGGGACGAAAGCTGGACGAGAAGGAAGAGCAAGGAGAGGGAAAGGGAGAGGGGGAGGAGTAAGAGGAGCAGAGATAGGGCTGATGGGAACAGAGGGAGGCAAAGCCCCAGTTCTTCCGAGTCATCTGAGAGTTCAGGGTCAGATTGCGAGAGCCGAGCAATCAAAGAGAAAACTGAGAGGAAGAACAAGAGGGAGATGATGAAAGCACTGGAGACGCCAGAGGAGAAGAGAGCCAGAAGGTTGGCGAAGAAAGAAGCTAAGGAGAAAAAAAGGAGAGAAAAGATGGGGTGGAGTGAGGAATACATGGGGTACACCAACGCAGACAATCCTTTTGGTGACAATAACCTATTAGGAACCTTTAAATGGCAGAAGGTGGGTTCCTTTCCCATATCTGTGGCTGATTGTTTTTAAGTCTTGAAAGGACTTTCATCAGGATACTTTGTTCTCAGGCGCTGGATAAGAAGGGTATCGGCCATCTTGGTGAAAAAGATCTTAAAGAAAGGAACAAATGTATTCAGGAGGAGAACCGCAGAGAGCTGCAGAAGGTATGAGTTTTGGGGTGATTTTGAATCTAAATCAAAATTTTGAAGTTTAGTGGCTGCAGCTTTGTGTTTATTCAGGTGAAACAGCTGAGGCTGGAGCGGGAACGAGAAAAAGCCATGAGGGAGACGGAGCTGGAAATGCTGCAGAGAGAGAAGGAGGCAGAGCACTTCAAAACCTGGGCTGAACAGGAGGACAACTTCCATCTGCAGCAGGCCAAACTAAGGTCCCTCTTCATCGTTTCTGTCTCTGTGTCAGGCTTATTCAGCATCTAGGCCTTTATGTGTTATAAACCTGCTCCTTTGTGTTCAGATCCAAGATTAGGATTCGCGATGGCCGTGCGAAGCCCATCGACCTTCTGGCAAAGTACATCAGTGCTGAGGATGATGATCTGGCCGTGGAGATGCACGAACCATACACATTCCTCAATGGGCTGACTGTCACCGACATGGACGATCTGCTAGAGGACATAAAGGTCAGTAGATGGACTCGCTGAAGCCAGGGTTGCTTTTTAGGGCTGCAACAACGAATCGATAAATTCGATGAAAATCGATTACTTTTTTTTTTTTTTTTTTTTAAACGTGTCCTGTCTGGCTGTGAAGCAAGCAGAATTGATGTCTGAATGCTGGTAACAAGCCTTACAGTTTTACTCTCAGGTGGAGCATCAGAGCATCTGCTTTTAATGTCGCACCTGATATTTAAAACTTTATTGTTATTGTTTTTGAATGCTTTGTAATTTCGACCAGACACGGAGACAGAGGTGAAAGAGAAAGGAAAAGAGAAAAGGTGGGGAGAGAGGGGGTTAGGTGGGGGGGGGATTCAACAAAAATAAACAATAATGAACAAGAGTCTGCTTCTAGACCTGCAAAATGAGACGAGAAAAAAGCAGAACATAACAAAAAAATGGGACACAACACCAATATAACAAAATCAAGCTATCACTGCGTCAACTTGATGAAGAAATATATAATCAATCATTGTTTAACTAAACAGTCACACGATAATATACCACAGTGCATTGAGTGCCCACCATAGTCTTAAGACATGTGTTGAACGTGCCCAAGCCCATACTTATGAGAGCACCATGTGAGCACCTGTGTGTGTACACGCGCTTGTTTATGTAAGGTTTATCTATAGGAGCGTCCAATAGAGAGTGTGAGGGACCACAGATCTGCCCCCCAAAGACGCGTAGGAGACGGGGGGGAGCTCCAAGTCCCAGAGATCCAGGCGCTGCCCCAGAACACAGGAACCCCAAGGAGCCCGCAACCAGAAAGGCCCCCGCCCCCCTCGAGAGGCACAGAGGATCGCCCCGTGGGGCCACAACCAGCAGCCGGCAGAGCCCCGGGAGATATCAGCGGCAAGTCCTCAGGCCTGCCCGCAGCCTCCCACCCCCTAGCCGGCCGAGTCCGGGACCCAGCGACCCGGGACCCAGGGGCGACCACCCCCGCCGGGGACCCAGCAGAGCCCAGGGACCCAGACCCCCCCAGGCCGCCACCGGGATTGATCAGGCAGATGCCAAAAATCTTAAACTCCCTGACCCGGGATCCACGAACACTCAGGCAGACCAAGGCATCACACCCACACCAGGTGTGACAGGGGGGAGGGGAGACGAAGATCTATATCATCAAAGGAGGTCCCAGGAGAAGGGAGGAGTCAAAGGCCCCACCTGACATATACAGTCATACACAAACACAGTCACACACTCCCTCCCTCATGCTCACACATGCACATACAACCAAAGACTTACAAAAATACACGCCGGACACCCATTCATGCTCCCCATACACACCCTATTCACTCTGGTCCCGGTAATGCTGCACATGGGGTACAACCACCACCGGTTACCAGAGTTTGACCCTTTCTGCTGGGGTGCTGATGAGCAGGCTCCCCCGCCCACCGCCGAGCACAGCAACCCACCACCCCAGACCCCAACCAGACGGCCAGATCTCCCTCCTAGTCTCCAGCCCCAGGCAGCCAAGCAACAACAGAGGTGTGCTAAGACCCCCTGGTCTCCCTCCACCTGCTCCAACATAGTGTTGTGTGTTAATGAGGTGTATTCTATTGCTGTGGTGAGCGGGCAGTGCGGGCATTTTCTGGCCTATGCCAGCTGATGCCACTGCACCACCCTACTTGCACCCACAGCCCTTGGTGTCTAAATGCAGTTTAAAATTCGAAGTGGGCACCGGCACTCGGGAGGAGGCTGAGAACTCCCCCTGCCAAGTGCCGTTGAATGTGCTCACTCCCAAGGCCCTAAGTGTATGTTTGCGTGGAATGTCGTCGGTGGAAGTGCATAAGGTGCAAATAAAATTGGGGGGCGGGAAGCCACAGGAATGCGGAAATGGGGTCCATACCCGCACTCCTCGACTTGTCCACCCCCCAAGGTCCTATGTGCATGTTTGTGTGATGATGTGAGGGAGCAGGAGGAGAGAAATAAACGGGGATGGGGAGGAATGGCTGGTAGGGCTTAGCCCTCCAGGGAGCCAGCTCCCCCACTGACCCCAATAGGCACCTCCGTTGTCATACCGCCGCCCAGGGCATGGAGACCCCAGCCCATCCTGCCAGGGCCCGATGAAAATCGATTACTAAAAGCGTTGGCAACAAATTGCGTCATCGATTCGTTGTGTCGCACAACTCTTCCAAAAGGCCCCCCCTCCCCTCCCTCCTGCCCGCCGTTGAGCGCAGACCGGAGCAAGTCAGTTCAGCGCGAGAGAGAGCCGGCAGGTGTTTGGAAGAGGAACATGGCAGAAGCAGCGAGACCCAAAAAAGTGAAAACTTCTAAAAGTTTGGGAGCATTTTCAGTTAAATCGGGCGACGACATTCGTTACCTGCAACGTTTGTAGGTCAGACTTAACATGGCACGGGAGTACTACGGTGATGATGCAGCATCTTAAACGCATGTCGGAATCATCAGCGAGGAAGGAGAGAGCCCTGTGTCCGGGTAAGTTAAAAACATTTCAAAAGTTATTCACCCAAGCCCCGGATTATTACACAGGCTAGACATGCCCTAAGCTCGTAAAAAAACAGTCTATAAAATCGTAAGCGCAACGCTATTAGATAGGCGCGGGGGGGGGGGGTCGCGCTGCTGTGAACCGGTTCCGCCGTCACATTCCCGCAGAAACTGGTTGATCACACCGGGGCCAGACTACTACCATGTGGCTTTGCAACCACAATGTCCTCAGAAGCGAAAACGCTTTTAAAAGGGAGGGAGGAGTCCTAACTGTTGCTAAAGGCGTGTTGTGTGAGAGTGCAGTTATATACTGGTTAATATATTTTTGGGTTCAGTTGCTTTCATGTGGCCTAATGTGAGTCTATTTGGGATCATTGGAATGATCAGCAGCATTTCTTGATGTGACTTTATGGCAGTTGCCCAGGGCATCATCACAAGGAGGATGGCATTCATTTACTTTTGTTTTATTTGGTATTTTTTTCAGTCATTTTTGGAAATAGTGATTAATTTTGATTAATTCACAGCCTATGTTTAATTACATTTAAAAATTAGTTGTTTGACATCCCCAATTATAATAAATGTCTACAGATGAGATCAAACAAAACAGATGAGAATTGCTGTTTAACTTGGACCAAGCATTTTAGGTCACAGATAGGTGTAGCTTAGGGTCTCTGTCTATACACCTTATAAGACAATTTAGGTGATGGCATGTTGTTTTTCTGCTATTGAACTGTTTTCTAATAATGTTGTGTTTAATAAAGTGAAGGAAAGAGAGAAATAACGTTTCCCTAGCAGTTTTTAAAAATGTCCCAATGTAATCCGATTAATCGTGTCGAGACTCCATCCGATTAATCGATTATCCAAATAATCGTTTGTTGCAGCCCTATTGCTTTTAAACCTGCACGAAATCATGCCGAAGCCTGCAGACAGATCTGTATTTGTGTTGGTTTGTGGTTCGTTGTCTGAAAGGTATACATGGAGCTCGAGCAAGGGAAGAACGTGGACTTCTGGAGAGACATGACGACGATCACAGAGGATGAGATCAGCAAACTGAGGAAACTGGAGGCTTCTGGGAAAGGGCCAGGTGATGCATTGACCAGGGTGCTCTTGTAGACATTTAGTACATAAATGTTCCAGCTTTACCAAACCTATTTTAATTTGATCAGCAATATTTGGGATAAAAAGCGGCCACGAGTAGATTTCCATGTTGAAATTGAATGAAGTTTTGGATTTTCGCTCAAGCTCCGGTTGATGAGAGCATTAGTTTCATAACTGTTCTGGCTATTTAAAAGGTCTTTTCACTATCGACTGTTGGTGATAAAGTAGACCCGAAAAAACAACCTTCTGTGCTTTATCCAGCTTGTTCCTATTCCCCATGATCCTTTGCGTGAAATATGCGACCTGCATCCGGCCCAGCATTGGTTTACATGGCGACAGAGATAAACGATGCGATCTGTTCGCAATAGAGGGGTGGAGGATGATAAGAAAATCTGACCAAAGCTAACATACTGTAGCATTTTTAGCTACTTTCTTAACTTTGTGGTGTTGGACAGCAAGGCAGTGAACAATCTTAAAAGCTCCCAGGCTTATCAGGGCTTGTTCAGGGGTTTAGATGTTTTTTATATTTTGTTTCTAAATAAAAATCAGCACACAAACATAGATGTGTCTGTTTTTGCAGCCTACGAATCCCCTGCTTCTCTTGTTGCCTGCTTATCGGCTCTGTTGTTGAAGAGCAGCAGTTCAAAAGCGATCTGTGCGTGGAAACAGTCTACATGGATATTGTGTCAAAATAAAAGCACCTTTTAAAATGTAATCTTCAGGCGATCGTCGCGAGGGCATCAACACCGCTGTCAGCACAGATGTTCAGTCTGTGTTCAAAGGAAAAACATACAGTCAGCTCCAGGCTCTGCACCTGAACATTGAGTCAAAGATTCGGGCTGGAGGATCCAATCTTGACATTGGTTACTGGGAGAGTCTGCTGCAGCAGGTCCGAGTCTACATGGCCAGAGCCAGGTATGAGTGGAGCAAAAACGTGGCCCTTTTGATCTTTTTTACAAAGGGTGTCAATTTATTCTTTTCTCAATGATCCAGGTTAAGAGAGCGACACCAGGATGTGCTGCGCCAGAAGCTCTTTAAGCTGAAACAGGAACAGGGAGTGGAAAGTGAACCCTTATTCCCCATCATCAAAGAAGATCCAGGCAGTGAGGAAGATGAGTAAGTTTCTGTGAAGTACCTTTTAGGAAAACAAAAATAATAATTTCTCTGTACTTTGAGAAAACGAAAGATCTTTTGTTTTGTGACAGGGAGAGAGCGGTGAGGGAGCGCTCGGCAGAAGAACGAGGCCCGTTGGCGCCATCCACCAGAGAGAATAAGACCAGAGAAACTGAGGAAGAGGAGGAGCCTCGTCCTTCCACATCTGCAGCTGGAAATCAGGATGAAGATGGAGGAGAGAAGAGCGAGGGGAAGGATGATGAGGAGAAGGGTGAGGCCGTGTTGACGGAGGAGGACCTGATCCAACAGAGCCAGGCGGATTACGACTCGGGCCGCTACAGCCCCACGCTGCTCACGACCTCTGAGCTGCCGCTGGACTCTCACACGATCACCCCAGAGGAAGACACCCACAGGCTGCAGCTGGCCCGCAGGCAGCTCCAAGTCACTGGTAAACACACGCAGATCAGAACACTCACTAAACCCACCCTGGCTCCGAGTACGTCGTATGTGATGCTGATCGACTTTTTTTCACAGGTGACGCCAATGAAAGCGCTGAGGACGCCTTCGTACGGCGAGCCAAAGAAGGCATGGGCAACGACGAGGCTCAGTTCAGCGTGGAGATTCCCGTCTCTGGGAAAATGTATCTGTGGGCGGATAAATACCGTCCCAGGAAGCCCCGCTTCTTCAACAGGGTCCACACGGGCTTCGAGTGGAACAAATACAACCAGACGCACTACGACTTCGACAACCCCCCTCCCAAGATCGTCCAGGGCTACAAGTTCAACATCTTCTACCCCGACCTGATCGACAAGCGCTCCACCCCTCAGTACTTCCTGGAGCCTTGTCCCGACAACAAGGACTTTGGGAACCTACGGTTCCACGCCGGCCCACCGTACGAGGACATTGCTTTTAAGATTGTGAACAGAGAGTGGGAATACTCGCACCGACACGGTTTTCGCTGTCAGTTCGCTAACGGCATCTTTCAGCTGTGGTTCCACTTCAAGAGATATCGCTACAGGAGATGAGAGAACAAATCCCCAGGAACTGGATTTTACACGTGTAATTATTCATTTTGGCTGTACGGTGTTGTATTCAGCTGCTCTCGCAGAAAGGGCAGTCACAGATGTTGCAGTTGTCGTCTGCTCAGTACTCAATAAAGTTTTTCTCACTTCTTTGTGCCGTTTACAGCCTTTGATGGTTTTCTGCAGCAGTTAGACGTAGATTTATATTTAAGGTTGAAGCATTCAGATTTTTAAGATCTTTATTAAAGAAAATGTGAGCTATCACAAATACCAAAATGCTTTACAACTTTTTCACATTTTTTGCAAATCCAGCCTGGCGGAACTTTTAAATGTGTTTTTTTTTTTTTGTAAAACGGCTCGAACTCAGGACGGTGAAGTTCCTGTGAAAACCAGAACTTTCTTTGGGAAGTTTGGATTTTTACAGCAAGACTGGAAACAATAAAATAACACTCAAACTAAACCTCCAAACAAAAGTCATGAGACCTTTTTAACTTGTTACAAACAAAAAACTGAACCAGATTAATTGTTGGGATTAAAACTGATCATGTGCAACGAGAGTAGAAGATGAACCCATCTTCAAAACCAAACAGCTAAACAGTATTTCTACATGTTTACAGTCTTAACCATCCTGAATGAGATCCAGAATCTGTGCTGAGATCCCAGAGGAGCCAAGCTTGTGAAACAGTCAGAGTATCTCACAAAGAGCCTGTTGCAGCACGAAGAGAAACCGCCCTTGCTGAAAAAAACAATACTGCTAGCTGCAAAAACCACCTGGAAGCTGAGATATCTATAAAAGGAGCTGTCATTGCACAACAATCCGCTTCAAATCTTTTTTTTTTTTTTTTACAAATTGTTGAAGGTGAACATACAAAAAATCTTTAGAAAATTAAGTTACCTTTCATTTTCACTGTAGCTGATATTTAAAATCAGTGTTCAGTTTTCTGACGTGTTGTCGTCTTAGTGCACAGATTTGAGCTAAGTGTTCATCGTCCTCTAAGTCAGACGGATCTACTTAAACGGCGTTGTTGTTCCTGCAGCTGTTCTGTGGTTCAGACACCAGGGGCTTGGCTTCAGCCATTGCTGGTCTGGCTGCATTTTGGTGACCCACGGCCTCCTGAGTCTGCTCCGATCGATTCGTGCAGTTCGAGAACTGAGGTCTGTATCTTTTGCAGAACGTCCAGGCCGACAGGGCAGCAAGAGCAATGACAAGGAGGGCAATAACAGCATGGAGTCCAGCGACAGATGGGCCATTGGTCTGAGGCTTAGGAGTGACACTCCTGTCACAAACGTTGGGGTCTGCTGGGTCGATGCTGACCTGGTATTCAGCTACGGTGGTGGTGAACTCTCCGGCTTTGGAGCGCTCCACAGACGAGCAGCAGTAGTGGCCGGCGTCGCCAGCTGTTGCATTTAAAATCAACAATTTATCGAGCAGAATCTGCTGACGAGGCGAGGATGTGAGGACACTTTTACCCCGCTCCCATCTGACGTTAGTCAGGCTTGAGGGTGGAGGGCAGCTGAGCTCAAGTTTACCACCGACCCTAACGGACAGACTCACCACCTTGATCGGGTCTGAAATCAAAACAAATTATCAACAAATAATCAAAAAAAAAGATTTCACATTTTTATTTAATACAAAACAAATACTGACGGTCCACATTGTGCAGTGACTCACCAGCATCAGGGCAAAGAGAGGCGTCTCCTGCTGCCACATTCTGGATCAGATGTCTGCAGAAAAGAGGAGATGCTGCTTTACACTTGCTGATCCTGTTGCTCTGCATATAAGTACTGCCGCCTACCTTTCTGGGGTGGAGAGAGAAACACACGCAGCTCCAGCAGCATCCCACCCACAGTACGGATCTCTAGCTAAAACACAGTCTATACAAGATAAGGACCGCTCACAGTTAGCCAGGGGGATTTGTGCTGCTCCCTGGTCTGAGCCGGCGTAGATCTGACCCTGTGCACAAACACAGCAAAAATACACCTGGGTAGAAACTTCAAAGTAAAAAAAAAACACAATAGAATGATGCTGAGTGGCTTTAAAGTACAGTGGCAGTTGAAAACACGAGAATGTTGATTAGCTGAGGAGTCTGGAAGATGTGAATTTCCTCTATGATGAACATCTCTCCATCGTAGTTGACAGCTTTCAGAATTGTGCCTTTCTCTGTTTAAAGAAAACAGATTTGGTCGGTAAAACGAAACGTAAACTGGAGCTTACAGATGTAAAACTACAACTCTAAACACACCTGTGCCTATAAACATGACGTGGTACTTGCGTCCATCTGCAGCCTGCACCTGGTTGACGATGATCCGTGTGAACGCAGCCCCTCGTCGCATCAGCAGAGGTTCTCCGCTGACGGGCTCCACAGCCTGGTCCAAGAGGGGCCGATCTTTGACAAACTGAAGGGTCCGGTCCGGGAGGTCCAGGCTCTTTGTTATTCTCATGCTGCGAGCCTCATTGTTTATACACTAAGACACCAAGCACAACAGAGTCAGGGAATCTTGTAAACACAGACCCTTCTACAGACGCTGAATGTAGGATAGACTCACAGCTCCAGGTCGAGGAACCGGGACTTCTCCGCTATACATCACCCACTTTACAAAAGAGGTTTCTACATTCACTGAGGTCTTGTACTTCCCCTCTGAAAACACTCTGCTGATGTCAGACATGTTGTACGCACACACTGCCGACACATCTGAAGTCTCCCTGAAAGACACACACACCGCAAATCTTATCCAACTGATGTTTCAAAGGTATCGAAGCATTAAAATCTCACCCCATTAAAGATTTTTTTGAGTCAAACGTACGACTGTGGAGTGAAAATGGCAAAAAATATGCACTCCTTCCAGCTGAGGTTGTAATCACACCAGAGGTACGAGTCCTGGATGAGTAAGGGAAGGGGAGAATTCAGCACCGGGCAATTTATTTCAGTCTTGAGGAAGGATGTCCACTTCTTCTGCAACGTCCTCAGTCCTCCAAGGTCGCCCTGTGGAGAAAGACCAATAAACCTCAACGGCTAATAGAAAACAAGACGGGCAGGATGCTCACTCGTCGTAGAAAGAGCAGAACTAGTAGAACCGAGGAAGTGACCTTGCACACACGAGCCACACGGGGGACCACCAGTTTGTTGTAGCAGTCGAACTCCACGGCCGTCTCAGTGAAGAAAAGGTAAACCTTGTCGTCGTCTCCGGTCGCACTCTGAACACTCTCAGGAACCCAGGCCATGGAAACAAACTTGGGCTCTGGTATAAAGGAAAGTAAACAAACAAGTCACCGTGGAGACATTCCCCCGTAACAGATAACTAAGTTCCATGTTACCATTAAGCCAGGAGCTTTTAAACTCAGTGCGAATGGACGCGTCCCCAGAGCTCCGCATCAGGATGGGCTCAGAGCCGAGGAAGTTCATTGAGGTGGCCGAGTACAGCTCGTCATCTAGAAATAAAGCAAAAAATGACAATCGGAGCAAAAACCAAAGATTTCCATAGAAATAGTTTTTCCTTCTACTCACCCAGCATCACAGAAGCGTATTTCTGGAAAGGATCAAACGGACACTTTCCTTTGCCATCTTGTCCCGTTTTTTTAAGAGTCAATTCTCCATTTTCAAAAGACTGATAAAAACTAGTTTAATTCGACACATTCATACGCCATCGATGTTCATTACAGGGCAGCAGAAAACAGCTGCTAGTTTATCTCACCAAATAGTCGCATTCTGGATCAAAAGCATTTGTCCCACAGACGTACATCCTGCCGTCTTTCAGCATGTGCAGGGCTCTGATGTAGTTCTTGCAATCATTCTAAACCCATTCAAAAGAATAAAAATGTCCAGTTTTAATCACCGAGAAGGGGATGTGGAAAAGGTTCTAATTAAAACCACCAACCTCTGGGTCCTTTCCCTTCCCTCGACATTTACTCACTTGTTTCTCTGTAACTTTCCATTCAACCTAAAGGAAAAAAAAAACAAGGTTTTTTATCTTTGATATAAGAAATTGTGCTTTTAAAAGTCTCCAGAGTTCATAGGAAGGTATGTGGTGCGTTAAGAGGAGGCTAATGATGCCCTCTGTTTAAGCAAGTTGGAAGTCTGGCAGGTTTTAATCAACCTGTAGACGAGCCGGCCCATTGGTCCAGTCGCATCGACACAAAAACCTGAATTATCCTCTCAAGTTCACTTGTAGACACCATGGATGGTTTTTCTGTCTGCTTTAAAGTAAAGTGAAGGGCCGATGGCCGATATTTATGGCCGATATCCAGACGTTTTTCACCTTATTTTTATGTTAAAACGTTACTAACAACATCAGTTGATGCACAAAAATTCTGAAGCCAAATCAGTTGTAACTTTGTGCACTGTTCTGTGTTAAAGTCAGACACCTAAATAAAGTTAATGCAGAGTATTGATAATGCAAATGTTATTAGTGAATGTAAAAAAAGGTTTCTTTAAATTCTGCATCAGGACCGGGCTGCCTGAGGATGCGCCTGACTTTAAATCGCATACAATACAATACTGATGTATAAAAAATGGTAAACATCGGCCTGATAACTCAGTCTACCTCTAGTTAAAATCATGAACTATTACTTACGGAGAAGTGAAACATGGAGGGTCAAATGTACAACTATAAATAAGTAAAGCTTTAAATTTGTTTTAATGTGTCAATAATTAATTAAAATCTGAAATACACACATATTAGACTAAATGAAAATTTATTACGTCTGTCAGAAAAATGGCTGCTATGATACTTTATGATTAAAATAATTATCTCATGGTCTATGTTGCTGTACATCCTATCTGGCTGATAATGGCACTTTCAAATAAATATTTCTGTAAACATTAGATATTCATTTAGACAACATGCAGACACCAACAGATTTTAAACTTAAAGGTGGAGTAGAAGATGTTTTTCCTGCCATCCAAGCAAGTTCATTTTTGAATATACACAATACAAAGGTACAACCCTCCCGAAACCTACCTCCAGAATAAAGGAATGCACAATTATTGTTTCAGAGGGTTCAGTTTTAGGTTTTGACCTGTTGTTGGCACAATTTCTGCCCTAATTCCAAACATAATGCACTATGTGTTTGTAAAAACATGCTAGTATGCAAGCCAATAGTGTGTTTTTATGCTGAAAAACTAGGCGGATTTTAGCTTTTATGGTTTATTCCTAAGTTCAGAATTTAAAAAGTGCAGTTCTAACCAAAAATCTGGGAAATCCCCGTGAACCACAGGTCAAAACTTCCAGAAACAGCTACTCGCTGTCGCCTCTAAGACAGCTCCCTATGCAGATACAAACTCGTAGCCAAGGCAACAAAATGAAGTGTACAGCTCCGCCAACAGAGGACAGGCTGCGTTCACAGACAGCTCTGTAGCCTAAACACTTTCTAACAAGAACAGAACCACTCCAAACAGAACATGTAAATGTCCTCTAGAGAAAACGGGACTGCTGTTGGCCATTTAGAAAAGATCCTAAACAATTAGCAGTGCTGATGCACGTCCTCACCTACATAAAACTCCTCTGATGATATATGCCATAAACTAACAGAAGCTGGAGCTGTTCATATTATTGTTGCTTAAAGCAACAATAATAAATCATATTTTTATCCTGAAGCAAGCCCTTTCTTTTTTGAAGTTTACTTTAAAGGGACTTTACGGACTTTTGAATTTTTATGCTCGCGATTGCCCCCTCAGGCCAAAAGCGTAACAGCAGCTTCAATAGTAGACACGAGGCGCGCATGCTGTACGTGCACACTCCTTAACGAAAATCACAGCTGAGACAGTCCCGTGTGTGTGTGTGTGTGTGTGTGTGTGTGTGTGTGTGTGTGTGTGTGTGTGTGTGTGTGTGTGTGTGTGTGTGTGTGTGTGTGTGTGTGTGTGTGGCCGGGAGGACAGAGGACAGGAACGCAGCTAATTAATTAAATAATTTGGTTCTGTACCTTTCTCTTCAGCACAGCCGTCAACGGTTTAAGATGGGTCAGTCCTCCTGCATGCTCAGATCATTCCCTTCCCTTGTTTGAAAAATTGTTCCAAAATGAATGTTGAACCCACATATTTTTTATCTGTGAATTCAATGCCGTTTGGTGAGTCTCAAATAAAAATTTGGGCATCTTGCTGTAAAAATTTTTTATTAATGTAAAAAAGAAACTCTAAATGAACTATGTTCACACCCAGAATCAAACCCAGGTCTTCTGCATGGGAGTCAGACATCTTACAAGGTGAGCTACACACCAGTAACATTCACAGTATCTGTAACTTTTATATCCTTGATGACACCTGAAACAACGTCAAACCAAGGAACGGTTTGAAGCGAAAATGGCTATTTTGTTGCTAAGTTACAGGAAATATCTAGAAGAAAGTTCTACAGAAAGTAGCTAAGGGTCCTCAGAAATGTAGCTAGGTTCATCACTAGGCGTTAGGAACAGCGACAAAGTCGCTGAGTTGGCACTGCCTCTCTCTGCTGCTAAAGCTACTGATAGCAAATGCTACGGGCGATGCCTGAGCGTGAACGCGCATGAAGCAGCCTGCTCGACCCGAGCAGCTCTTTTTCTGTGATTTTACAGAAAAACAGGCAATCACAGTAAAAATGCCAGGGCTCATTCTACAGAACCAGGGCATTACAGGAGAATGTATGAAGAAGAAATTTATTATTTCTACACGTGTTTTGGCTGTCAAACTTCCATAATGCCCCTTTAAAAAGCCGACTGCGAGGTATGAATCAGTGTATGTCATGATATAGTTCTAAAACAACTGTACTGCAATTGAAGGTGTCCTTACTGAAGAATTTTTATTGGAGATGTTGGCGAGGTCGAGAGCAAACACCGCCTCTCTGGCTCCCAGCACCAACAAGCCCAGGTCCTCTCTCAACAGCATGGTGGAGTAGTTGAAAACGCCCTCCTCTTGAAACAGAAGGGCATTGTCGCCTGGAGACAGAATATAAGTCCTGAGCTCAGCGATGGTTCAGTGAATCAGTCCAGAAACCACATGAGCCAACATGAGCTGACAGAGAGAAGCGCCAAGGTTATTCAGGAAAAAAAAGACTCACTATGATAAGGCACAAGTCTGCGTGGGACACAGTTTTGTGGTGAATCCGTCTCAAGCATCAAAGCCACGGGCAGCAGCCACAGGACACAGAGGGGTAGCAGAGGATGCATTGTTCCGTTGTTCAATCTTACAGGAATTTAGGCTTTATTGTTTCCCAAACACTCATTCGTACAGGGATAAAGACAGCGAAAGGCATCTATGACGTGACGAAGAGCGCTGAGTCTGTAGGGCACTGGCCCCTTTACTGGCCCCGCTCAGCAGGCTGTCCATGGTGAGATGGATGGCACAGACCACAGAAACAAAGCCAGGATGGGCTGAAACAGAGACGATTGAAAGAATATTATTATGAATTCACTGCCGATGAGACCTGAAAGAGAAAAGGTTCAAAATGTGTGCCGCGCAGAGGGACATGGCAAATGAGGAGGAACTTTTAATAAAAATGCACGCTGAAGGAAAAAGGTAAAACAATCGCCAGACAGTGCAGAGTAAAGTCAGTGCAGCAGTAATTCTGTCAGACCCATAGTGATGTTAATGCAGAGCCATGAAAGGCATTCAGCAGGGGTGCAGGGATGTCAGCTTCAGCTCTCCAGCAGCAACAAACGGGGAGATTTAACAGACCTCCAGCAAACAACACCGCCGTCGGATGTTTAGAAAATAGAGCTCGACTCCAACCGACGTTCCAACACAATCCAACACTGTTGGATCGCCCATACGACGTTGCATCATGGTGATCCAACAGATCTGACATGCTGGAGCAGTGTCAGTATGAATCAGCCCTTAGAAAGAGGTGGTTGCCTCTTGCAACAGGAAACAAGGAGGTTTAAAAACATCCATTAAACAAGCCAGATAAATGCAAAACTTTGATGTAGTAACAGCTGTGTGTGTGTGTGTGTGTGTGTGTGTGTGTGTGTGTGTGTGTGTGTGTGTGTGTGTGTGTGTGTGTGTGTGTGTGTGTGTGTGTGTGTGTGTGTGTGTGTGTGTGTGTGTGTTATAAAGATGAGCCTCTGCATGTCAGAGAATGCAGGCGTGAGGGGACGTTTTCACATATTTGGCTCTGGACCAGAGCCAGCCTCAATCACACGTTTTAACGCGCATGCGCACTCTTCCACACACCAACTGTAGTATTTTAAGACCTAAAAACTGATCAGAAATCAGCAAATTCGGCACCAAATTTAAGCGAAAGCGATTCAATTGTCATAATTCGCACATTTTATAAGTTTGTAAGTTTTTAACTTTACGCCATTCGAAATACAAGTGCAGGAATAAACCAACGCTATCAGGGGAATCACTCACCTGAGAACCGAAACGCCCAACACTGCGGAAGCTTCCATTTTAATCTCGGCACCTGTTTTAGGTACTTTTTAAAATTGAAATAAATGCTTCCACAGCAGCAATGAACAGGCAGGTGGAAAGCAGCATCGAGTAAGTGAAATAAACTACTCACAGGTGTAGCTAATGTTTAAACGTACCAACGAGCCGACTCTCCTCAGAGAAAAACTATTTAAAAAACACATGAAAATAAAAGAAAAGGAGATACCGTATCCCGTCCGTCTCTAGCGGGTCCTCTGCTACTGTATACCGCCTTCCAGCGATGAGAGGCGCGTGAGGGGCTGTTGTCTCCGAGCAGGTTTTTGTTTCCTCCTTCAAACTGCCGCGGAAGACGCTGACCTCTGATCTGATTGAGTTTCCATTGTTCTGTGTACTGTTATAGACGGTAGAGGGCACAGCTGATCCAGGATCAGATGTGTCATAAACAGGCAGCCCGAGGGTGTAATAACAATGGATTCAACTTTCATTAATGGATGATTTAATTGTTTGCTCACAAATGTTATAAAGCATATACAAAATCGCAGTTGAGCTTTTAAACGTGTCGAAGGGAAGTTATTATATAAATTAGCCTTTGAAAATAATGCAGAATTTTCAGATTTTTCTGTGGTAAACTAAAATTAAAGCACAATGCTTTGTTCTTTAAACATGCCATAGAACACTTCTTTTGATTATAAATCTATTCTAAATTAAAGTTTGATACCATAAATATGGTTAAGAAATAGGGTTGATGCAACAAAATATGATAAAACATGGTTATTTTGTAAGCTAATGTCCCTTTTTGTTCTTTATAAGCATGTCTATTACTCCTGACAACTAACTGCGAACACAAACTGATTGGGGAGTCATAAAACATTTATGTATGTTAATACTGCAAATAATTACAAATTCTGTGCAAAATTTGTGCAATTTTTTATGACTTTGTGTCACAACCTGTCCTATTTATATCCTAATTTCCTTTGCAGTTTTTATCTTGCTTAACACACCAGATTCACTTCTTCATTGTCTTCAACTTGTGAAAACCTACAGTTTCATAGGCTAATTGATGAGGAAAACACGGAACTAAAAGTAAAACATAGTGGTGGAGATGTGATGGTTTGTGGAATTAAAATCGTTCCAGTGAGAATTTCCAGTTATTAACTATCACAATAAAGAAAAATTATTCTAAGAAGTGCTTGGTTGCATTTTTGCCATGAAATCTATTACAAACATATTAAAATTAGTTTGTTGATCTGAAAGATTTAAGTGTAACAAACATGTCCAAAAATAAAAGCTTTAAGTTCACATTAAGGCACAAATGATTCATGCAAAACAATTTAATACCTTCAATATTTATCAAACACTATTCTCTGAAGGTGACCAAGACAACGACACACTTTCTGTACAAACATTCATTGGAAAAAGACACTTTAAAGTTATTGGTTCACAGCTTGATACCAATCAGTAGGAAGAATCCAGAAAAACGAGAGTAAAAACTCTTATTATTGAAGCACCTTTACATCTGTTTTCAGGTACGGTCCAGATGTGACATAATACTGTCTAACGTCAGGTTTCACATCTCAGTAGAAACAAACTCATCAGGCACTTGTGCTTTTTCAGTGTGCTGATGACATTTCTGTTCCTTCGTTTTAACCAAAGGGTGTCTTCACAGATGGATGCAGTAGAGGTTTTCTCAGACAGAGAAACCGGTTGGATTTTCCAGGCAGGTCTGAGTTGGAGGAAGTTATAGCACCATGAAACAGCACATGTACAGCAGCAGAGAGCACGTAAAACAGTTAAAGTAGAATGGCAGACGATCTACGGCACAGTCACTGAATCTACAATGTTTTCACAGTTGTTCATCGATCACAAAGCGCTCTGGGGCAGGAGGCAGACTTTGTGCAGGCGTTCAACCCGATTTCTCTCCCTCAGTTTTGTTCAAATTTGTGGGAATGTCAAAAAAACTAGAGCTAGCATCATCGATGAGAGCGAGGCGCTCTGATGTAGATCTTGGCAATCGTCACTGTAACTTCAGCAGGTCACCAACCCAAAGATGGGCTCAGACTGGAAACCAACAGGCTCAGATTGATGTTGGTGCTGGTCACATTGACTTCTGTTGACTGGATTTTCTTGCTGCCCTGCAATTATTCAGAGGCCACTGGTTGTGCAAGATGAAGCAGCACTAATGGGTCAAAAAGGCAAGCACCAGTCATGTTGAACAATTACACGCCGAGACACACAGGAGGAACATCTTCAGCTTCCCTAAGACAGTGTGGTGGTTCTGCAGTAGCTCTTGCTCCACCGAGAAGGCACAGGATGAGAAAGATCTGAAGCTTTGAGGAAACGTCACTCCTGGCTGACCCTTCTTTTCTCCAGCGTCTTTTTCAGCTCCTCATTGAGCGCTGTGGACAGAAAACAACCTGTGCGTAAACATTTGCTGCCTAATGTAGATAAAGCTGGCGTTTCTCGCTACTCACTTTGTGTGAGAGGAGAGGGAGAGAGGACAAGTCGTCTCATCGGGTTAGTGGGCGAAGCTGGCACCGGCGAGGAGGTCAGGACACGACGGTCCAAGGCAGGAGACCTGGACAGAGGACTGCTGCACCAACGGTCTGCACAAGAAGAAAGGCAGAGATTACTGCTGCTGTCAGTTTCAGATTTAGTGACCAAAATCAACCTTGTTTTGGAGGCAGAGCGGGGGCCTTCGGGAGCGGGCTGGAGGGGGCCGTGTGGAGGATACGTTCTCCATTTTCATCATTAGCAGAAACGTACGCTGATGATGAAACAAACGTGATTCGTTCAGTCTTAAGTGTAAAAGCGGCAAAAAGACAGAAACAGAGTAAAAGTTTCCTCACTGATGTTTTCCTCGTACGGTTCTTCCAGCAGGAACGGCTGCAGCGTGCCTGCTGTCCTCTCCACCAGGGCGTCGATGACGTCATGCAGCGTAGCACAGGGAATCTGTCAGACCACGTGTAAAATATTTACTACTAAACACCTAATGTGATTCAACACAACACAAGGACAGAGAAAATGTGAAATAATGTCCTAATAACAAATGTTAGAGCTCACAAGAGGGATGGACTCATTATAGGAGCTGGTGTTGAGATCTGCTAGTTTCTGGTTTTGATGTTACTGATCCACAGAAAATGAGTTTATTTTATATTCTAAGAGAAAATAAAATCACTTATGGGATATTTTGAAAGATGAAACAATCTCCAGAGCCTACAACTTTTGATTTTACTGGTTATTAATCTAAATTTGAAGAAACAGCTGGTGGAGATTCGACTTCGGCAAATGAATGGACTTGATATGTTGCTGCTTTGGTCAGAAAACGACTGGCCTATGCTCTACAATTCAACTGTGTGACTATGCTGACACCCAGTCACTAATGTGTAGACCTTTGTCTTCCTGACGTGACTCATCTCCCGCGTGACGTCAGAGCAAGACATCTAGAGTCTGACTTCAGCTGATTTTATCCATGAAATTTCAAAACAAAATGTTTCAGATTACAAACGCCATGACTTTCCCACGTGATTGCATCACGGTGGGTTTTGTCTTCTTATGCCAAAACCATGATTTACATCCAATTTGCTCCAAGTTGAAACAGGTTGTTCTTCCTCCTGAAGGCCCAGTTTGCTCTGATTGGTCAGAGATGTTTTTCCCTCTTTCATTTTTTATTATTTTTATTTCCAACGAACCCCTGTGCAGGTTTTAATGCAGAAGAGCTTCCCTGTGATGGAAAAAAAAAAACTGCAAATGAGGCTCTTCATGCTTAAGGAGTGTCATTTATGGGAAAGGTGGCAGACGCTATAGATCACTGTACACAAAAACTACCAGACACAAGAACAGTTTCTTTCCTTCAGCTATTTCTCTCCTGAATCTGTAGATTCTTTTACCATCCTTTTATTATAGTTTTTAATACTAATTCAGTATGCTTATGGATATGTGTGTGTGTGTGTGTGGGGGTATGTATATATGTATATAGGTGTGTGTGTAAATGAACATGTGTGTGGGTATACATGTTCTTATGTGTTTTTAGGTATTTTTATTCTCATTTATTATGGTTGTTGTATGTTTTAGAGAGCGAACATCTACCGAAGACAAATTCCTTGTAAATGTAATTTTACTTGGCCAATAAATCTGAAATCTGGAATCTGGTGAGCTTATCTTTGCAGAGCAGTTACATGCAAACAAAAGGCTAAATCACAAAGAGAAATATGTTGTAGTTGACTCTGACCACTGGTGTCATAATGAAGTTGGAATAAACAGTATTCCCCTCCAAAAACTATTCTAAATTAGCCCTTTTGTTAAGTTGAATCTTGATCTACTTACAGGATTCTCCACATCAATGACGTAACCCCCCTGGTCCCTCTGAGTGACCCTGTAATGCCTGAACACGGACCTGGAGGTAAAGGTACAAACAATCAGCACATCAAAGGAGGATCTTCACATTTACATGTCCAGGTATTCAGCAGTTGTTTACCCGTTGAGGTCTTGTCGGGTAGTGACAGCCAGCGAGCATCCATCTCTGCCTGGACGAAGCAACATGTTGCCACAGTCTGGATGTCTCTCTAAAAGGACCTCGGCCTCGGTGCGGGACACTGGACGAAAACACCTGTGAGTGAAATGCAAAATATTAACGGAAGAGTGTTTAATGGAGACGGCTGAAGTAGTGCAGCAAGAACTCACGCAGGGATCTCTCCCACTAAAGGAACGGAAAGAGGCGATGGAGGCGCTCGTCCTGGATTGCGACTTCTGCGCCTGGACCTTTCCTTGTCCACCACCTCCTTCAACATCTGCAGCTGCCCGGGTAGCAACGTGAGGCTGGACGGCACGTTCAGCTGTGATCAGACAGAACGGAATATTTGTATGACAGAAACAGGCAGGAACAGGGATGCAGATGCAGCCAGAGGTCGATATTCACATCTATAACAGAGTAGAGGAAACCTTTCCAGAGCTCCCGGCTCTCCAGGTTTGGTGCCTGGAAAAGAAATCATCACGTTATAATTATTATTTTTCTATGTGTTTATTATTCAGATTTGAGTGCACAAGTCAAGAGGAGTACTGTGAGTTTGATTTCTCCATCCTTCATGCGGAGGACGAGCCGTGCTGCCTCCAGGTTTTTGTCACGACTGCTGTCGTCCCTCAGGGACACAAACCCTCCGAGGTCCAGCTTCTCCACATACTGGTGCATGACGTGCGCGCACGAGCACACACACACACACACACACACACACACACACACACACACACACACACACACACACACAGGTTATTGCAATAGACACACATGGAATCAGGCTTGCTGAGTGGAACTTACATTTGTGTCCTTGGAATTATTGAAGAAGTATAAAGAGTTACCACACAAACTGGTCCACAGCCGCCTGGACGCCTGAAGGGAAAAAAACGTGGAACAAACCAGTGAAGAGGGTATTTCCCTTCCCATCACCCCCATTTCCTGTCCTAGGAGAGCGGTGGTGAGGGAGCATCAGCTGGCAACTGGTCTGGGACCAGGGAGCCTTGCAGTCTGCTGCACCTGAGCCATTCTCACATTACACTCTGTGTGCATGAAAATTAGCCTAATGGGTGGGTCTGTTCAGGGGGTTCTTTATTTAACCTCTCAGATTAAATCACACAAAAGACAAATATTGGTTATTTCACTTCATGTAACTTGTGATTTTAATACACCTGATATATTCAGAAGGTTGTTGGATTAGGATGGATGCTGCATGTCCTGTTGTTATGGGAGGGAACGACACGTCACGCGCAGGTTTAACATCATGATCAGATTGTATATTATTGCATGTTTTGCTTTCCATAAGGTCAGCGGTATTATTGGGAAAATTTCGCCTCCAGCAGCAGCGCCTCGCCCATTCCAGCACAACAAGGAAGTTGTCTGCTTTTATTCATGTAATTTTCAGGAACGGTGGATCAGCCGGTGCGATGAGCGGACACGCATGCACGCACGCGCGAACACACACCGACTAACCACAACAGGACGGACGCGTAACGATAACCGCGCGCAGGAACAACATACCTTCTCTTTCGGTCCGCGCTTCTCCAGGTAGCCTTCATAGTAACAGGGCGGGAGCTGCGTCCGGGCCCCCCCTGAGCCGAGGCGCTGCCTGACGGGTGCAGCCGCCATGAGTGTCGCGGGCTGGGCGCCGAGCGAGGAGGACAAAGGGGCACTGAGCGATCCGGGGACTGACACGCCTTCCCCCGATGAGATAAGTGCGTGGCAGTCATCCAACAGCTGGTGGATGCAGACTGCTGTGTCTGAGTGGGGGGTGTCATGCAGGGGGGGGGGGGGGGGGGGGGGGGGGGTTGGCTGGGGCTGGCCAGAGGAGTTTGGTGATTAATCAGGTACTGATGCTCACCTAAAAGTCAACAACCTAAACCAAAACGGATGTTTTCACGCCTCTTCAATCATTTCTGAGTTCAAACATTTTATAATTTTTCAAAAATAATAAAGACATAAAAATATTGAAAGCCTTTAATATTTATTTGAAAAACTTGAACAGCATCCATTCATATACAATAAAAACATACAATACACGAGAATACACTTAGCCTAGTAGAGAGGTAATCCATATAGTTTGGAGATAATCCAGGATAATCTAATGTGTTGCCTTCCCAGAGCATCACAGTTACAAAAAAATAAAGATTTTGCGTAAGTCAAAAGCTTCTATAAAGTCATGCAAACATATTTCACAGGACATTTTCATTAAAACGGAGCATAATGAAAGAGGCTGTTAATACTTCATCAATATTGCAAGCTGACCGAATTTAAGAGTCTAATGATGTCAGCTGCAGCGCTCGTTTGGCTGTGACAGCAGCAACCCTCAGAAATTGATCTTAGCCCTTTGTTCCACAACATAATTAGTCATCGATATTATACAAGCTGTGATAGCTGCAGACCTTCTGCTTCTCTTAAACGGAGGGCTTTTGACTAATGAGGCATGCAAGCCCACACCTGAACCGCCTTATTACTCAGCACAGCAAGGCTCTGGAGCATACCACCAATGATAGACGACCTAAACATAACAATAAGAACTATGTACAAGGAGAGGTAATGCATATTTTAGTCCAAGAATGGGCTAACAAGCTGAGGCTGGAGATGGGGCAGATAATAAGGAAGGGGTACAGGGGCAGGTGGTGAATAAAAACTGGTTGGGGGAGGGCATAATCCACTGTTGTGTGCCCTCCTCTGATGAAAAGGCCTGTCTGTTCCACTCACCGTTTAAATATATGGGAGAGATGAGCGGGGAGGCTGAACAGGGGGGGTCATGACAACAGGAGAAAGTTGGCATTTTCAGTAAACAGCCCCAGACAGCTCAGAGTTAGCTGGTAATAGGCTTAGCTGGAACTAAACCCAGAGACAGCAGACAACCCCGTCCTCAGTAAGATTCTCCATCAGGCCTGAGTACAGTCTGAGGCAGGTAGAAGCCCGCCAAACACACATCAGCATGATTACCATGCTCCAAATCAAAGCCAAGCTCACCCAGCAACACAGGGGTGTGCAGAAAACTCAAGGACAAACATGTCAACAAAATCCCTAAAACCACTGAGTGACACTACCAGCAGCATCAGCAGAGCCTTAGAAAACAGTACAATTATTTTAAATGGTGCAACCCTGTCCCGTATCTGCAGTCGGCTGAAATCATCCTTTCTTGTGATGCCAAGCATTTGCTTTAGGCTGGAGAGAACAAGCTGCACCAGCGTGTGGTTTCTTTGGCTTTAGTGTTCAGAAACGTGAGTGAGTGGGTTCAAAAACAATAGCAGAGGTACCAATACCAACAACAGCTAGTGTGATCGTTAACCTGATTGACTTACAGGAGATCTCAGCACTTTATAATCCGACAAACAGCTACTGGTGGCACAGGGTGTCACTTTAGACAAGTTAAACATCAAAACGTCATCAACTGCCAGTTTACACCTGGACCAGGCCACCCAGCATGAATATTTGTTAAAGGCATGGAAAAGAGAAAGACTGAGCCCTTGTACAGTACCACTAGATGGCAGTGGAGGACAACCAAGCAGCCCCTCCTGCATGGACGTTCACAAATCTGTGTGCTACCTGCAGGCACAAAGGTAAAAACAGAAACGTGTAGATCTACAATTACAAACCTATATAAATGGGAAAAAAATAAGAGTATTTTAACTTATTAGATATTGGTGCACATGTCCTTTGCCTTCAAAGATGTAGTGAACAAAGTGCACAGGTGCAAGGAAAGGTTTATAAAGACTTTGCTATTGGATAATAATGTATTTATGAGCCATCCTCCTGATGCTCCTCTCTCGACTGGCTTCTTCTAGTGTTGTAAAGGCACAACCACCTCCACGTAGTTGGTGGGAAAGTATCCAGATTGTCCGCGAAGTTTCCCTTCGAACCAGTTCTCATCGATTCGACTGACCAGGGTGATGATGTCACCCTCTTGGAAACCCAGTTCTCCCTCATTTTCTGGCTCGAAGTCGTACAAAGCTTTACAGCTCGGCTCGGCTGGGGAGAGACGAGGGAGAAGGGAGGAGAAAATGAGTTCATCTGAGAAAATACACATTTGTTACTCTTCCCCTTCAACAGTTAGTGTAGAGTCAATAACATCTTTAAGCGATAGAAGACAAAGATACAATTCATTTATACCAATAATGGAAAAGTTACGACACATGAGTTATTTAGGAATCCTTCTGAAGCTCAAAGTTTTGCCTTTTAAAACTATTTTTAACCAAATATTCCTTTTTGACCCAGATAGTTTTTTCCTCACATTTATGATAAAAAAAATAAAAAGTAGATGATAAAATGTAGTCCAATCACAAAACTTCAGAGGCATCAGAAACGGTTCAGCCACTGATCGTTAAAAACAAAACTATAACATGTTGCTGATAAATCTACGCATCTGCAGCTTTTGTCAGACAGAAATAAACCCACTTATTGTTCCGGCATGCTGAAGAGGATCAATGGACACAAACGCCATTCAGAAATGTTAGTAAATGAACCACATGAGATAAAGCCACCCCACTGCCGTTCACAACAACTAAAGCAGAAACAGTTTGTCGTCAGGACGACGAGAAATCTTCACCCGCCCACTCACGCAGTTTGCTCTTGACGGAGGATCTTTGGCTGGAGGCAGCTGGATAATTTGCAGCAGCTGGTCAAGGATAGGAAATCTGTCAGAAACATGTAACTGATTTCCTGGGATGAGCCCTTCGCCCACAAACGCACGATTAAATAAACCATCAGAAACTTATTTCACCTGTGCTGAAAGCTGGAGGGCTCGTCGGAGTAGGCGAATATCCTCCATTTGATTCTTCTCCGTAGTCAAAGGATTGTCTGGGTTTGGGTCTGAACTCACGCCTTGGACGAGACTGAGCATCGTTCACCCTGCAGAGGGTCAGAATAAAAATAAAAAAAACATCACATCTGGTTTTCTACCAAGATTGCTGCAAAATAAATTTAGGAGGTTTGGGGAAACTAGCTGTTATCTTCCTTTTCAACACATGGCATCGCCCACTTCTGATGTCCTGACCCAGTGGCTACAAAGAAAAAAGGCATGGAAGTTTTTGTGACAACAAGCAAACTGAGCTGTAGCATCAGCATGGCAGCTGCTTTTTGACTCCATTGTGAGTGATTAGTAGCAAGAATGTGGACTTTCTGGAATAACTGGGTCGTTTCAGGACAGAGGAGCGGTGGGTCGACACTTGAGCGAGTGTTACATGGACGGATCCTCATTGTGTGGGACACAGGTTTGAGTCCCAGCCTTTCTCTGCCCACTTTCCTGTGGTGTGACTTTCACATAAATGCCACTGGTGCCAGGAAAAATGAATATTTGTCCAGGAACACTGGGGTCACGTTATTCAACAGTGTTTCTGTGCTGCTTTAAGGAGAGATTCATAGGGTTTTCCAGGTCAAAGAGAAAGCATGAAAATAGGCTAAACGAAGAAAAGCCCATAATTTTCTGAAATTAGGCACGGTGCTGACCTTGCTGTGAGTTTTTCAGTGACCTCCTCCAGGATCTGAGTGGCCTGCCTGTGGTACTGCAGCAGAGAATCCACAAAGGAAGACAGCTGACTCACCTGCTCCACCTGCTTTGAACAGAAAGAAGAACTAGTTAGCCTTGAGGAGAAAGCACGGGTCCTCCGTTTACTTTCCCGATTCCTTTTTTTTGACAGAATCCAACTTGTTTATTATGACAGGAAACACAGTGGCTTCATTTGAAGAACTTTAAAACCTAATGTGAACACTGTGAAACCAGAACAAACTGGTCTTAATGGTAGGGTCTATGGAAAGATACAGTGGAAAGTAACAAGGTCAGTCAGCTGACACAGAGAATCTCACAGATGTTAGTTAGCTGGTGTAACGGCATGAAATGACCGTTTCCCCCTCTCCTCTGACATACGACTAGTCTGCATGGCCTCAAGGTCTCATGCATTTGCTTCTAACCTTCTTCTTTTCAGCTCAACAGAAGAATGAAGAATGAACTCTTTCCTCTTAATTAATCAAAGAACACTATTTTAATAAGCTAATCATGCAAAGTGTTAGTCAATAAATAAGATGTGACAATCTGTGAAATCAAAATATTAATTACTTTATTCTAATCCCATAGAATATATTAAGTAATATGGCTTTAAATGTTCCAATAGGACTTATCTCACGTAGCATTAAAAGACATGACACATGGCTTTCACTGATCCAATCAGAATCTGCCAGATCTGACGGAGGCGTGGTTTTGGTGGTGTTTGGTAAATTTGTCAACTTTTCATTCGATCATAAACCAAAACATCCGAAGTATAAAACTATGCCCACGTCATCTCTAACGCCAGTTCAACGCGTCGGAGTGGCCAATCCGTAACTCTCCTCTTCAACTGAAAGAACCAACGACAAGCTGGATAAGATCTGTTGCTGTAACAACCGCTGCAACGGTTCCTTTCAGAATAAAAGCTGAACCATCACGACCCAGGTGGGTCTCGCTAGACGCCAGCAAAATCGTCGTGACCCGGAAGTATCTCACAGACTGGTCTGGTCGGCAACCGCTGCTTTTCCTACCAGCTTCGGTTCCAGAAAAGGTCAAGCTGGACCTCGACATTCCTGATCTAACGGGACTTCCGCTAAGGGTATGTAGGCCGGCGAAATGGCGACGAAAGTGTTTATGAATCTCCTAACCAAAGCTTAGCGCGAAGACATCATCTTCAGTTCCCATCAGAACTAATCGCTTCTTCGGATTTGCTGGTTCTGAGCAACATTACACCTCACCCCATTCACCGTCTCATCCACCTCAGTTACACCATACAGTTAGTGTTTAAAGTCAGTCTAGTTTAATTTGTTTTTAATAAATCTTTAAACTTTTAAACGCGACTCTCTCTTCTGTTGTCTCTGAGTGAATACGAAGCTGTTATCTAATCCCTGCATTAAAAAGTTCCAATCTTCTGGTTTAAATAACCTCACAGATCCATAAGGTTGATTTCATATTTCCTATGGAATCCTACGCCTTATGGCTTATTAAATAACATGTCATTTAAATCATTACACTGGGAAAAAAAATTCCTGAACATCGATCTTGAGTGTTTCAGCACTTCAGAGGGAAGGTAAACACCATCACAAGGAATATTTTATCCTCCCTAAGTAATAAGGTTTTAGAGAAATCTGAATGTGTGTCTACACCAGTGGAAACTCTGGACAGTTTTGTCCTGGTAGAAGCTGAGAGTCTCGATAAAGTTTTCTCCTCGGTGAGACCCACCACGTGTTCTGGACCCAAGTCCAACTTCGGTTTTTAAACAAGTCTATGGATCTTTTAGTGATGAGATTTTAACCCTGATGAATTGCTCCCTTCAGACGCGGGTCTTTCCTGCTGCCGTTAAAGGGGTGGTGGTGAGGCCCCTGTTGAAGAAGAGCAATTTAGATTTTAATGAATTTAACAATTATCGACCGGTATCTAACCTACCATTTCTTACCAAATTTTTAGAAAAGTTGGTTTTAAATCAACTAAATGATTTTATAAACACCCATAATGTCCTAGAGAAGTCTGGTTTTAGGGTGAACCACAGCACAGAGATGGCCCTTTAGAAGATTTTAAATGATTTTAGATTGATTTATGAAAAACGGAAGGTGACTGTGTTGGTTCTACTGGATCTTAGTGCTGCCTTCGATACAGTAGACCACACTATTCTTTTAACTCGTTTAAAACAGATCGGCCTCTCTGGTGCTGTCCACAGATGGTTCACATCCTCACAGACAAGACTTATGGTGAGTTTAGATACCTGTTCCTCGAGGGTCCGTGGGATTACATGTGGTGTGTCCCAGGGTTCAATTTTAGGCCCAGTGCTTTTTAATCTCTATATGCTCCCTTCTTGTCGGGGTCATTAGGAGACATGGAGTCAATTTTCACAGTTATGCTGATGATACACAGTTGTACATCTCCGTGTCTCCTGATGACTCTCGGCCAATGGATGCACTTTTAAACTGTATTTTATACATCAAATCCTGGATGGCAGAGAACTTTCTCCAGCTCAACCAGGACAAAACTGAAGTTTTAGTCATCGGACCTGAGGCCCAGAGAGAGAAACTTTTACCAAAACTACAATCTGTCTTTTAATCCTTCTGAACAAGTGAAGAACCTGGGTGTGATTTTTGACTCAGAGTTGACTTTTATCTCACACATTAAAAACATCACAAAAATAGGTTTTAATCATCTAAAGAACGTTGCCAGAGTCCGCCCTATTCTCTCTCGGGCCAATACGGAGATGCTGATGCATGCTTTTATCACCAGTAGAATAGACTACCGTAATGCCCTGCTTTCTGGTTTTCCCAAAAAGAGCATCTCAGGTTTACAACTTCTACAAAATTCGGCAGCACGTGTCCTGATGAAGACAAAAGATCAAAACCAAAAGAGAAGCAAACGAAGAGTGAACTTACATCTGTTTCCAGCAGGTTATGCATGGAACTCTCAGCCAGCTCTTTGGACTCGTGGAACTTCTCCAGGGCCTGCCTGATCTCCTCGTCTGGGATTCTTCCTTGACGTTTCTTTTTATAGTCGTAGTCAAGACGGCGGCCCTCCAACTTCTTCAGGTGGTGCTGAGGTCAGAAAAGCATGAGCAGGTTAACGAGAGAGCCATCACATGTGACTGAGGCTCACACTGGGGGCTCCGTCACTGATTCTACCTGAATGTCTTTGACGTCCTTGTCAGCGACTGCTTGGAGCGGGTCGATGAAGTTCTGCTTCACGTCAATATCCAGAGCATCCTTTACTTCGGCCATCCTCTTCATCGCTTCTCCAACGACTAGAAGAGCCCCGCCTAAAGGAGGCACAAACATGGAAGGGTGAATACTTACCATTCATCACACAGATAGTCAAGACTTTAAACAGATAATCAGCCCTCTGTAGGCCACATTCAGATAAAACATTCTGAGAAATGAGAAGTTTGAGCCCTGATTCTGAGATAACAAATTTTGTTCAAAGCTGCATGGAAATATTCTTTGCATCCTTCTTTAAAACCTCTCACTGAGCCTCCACTTGACTCTTACCAAAGTTGGTGTCCTCGCCCATTTCCCGTCCATATTTGGTCATAGACTCCCCCAGCAGGCCCTCGGGCTGCGGATACCCTGGACTGTTCACCTGCCCCCGGATTTTGGACACCGTGTTGAGCATGGTGAGCTTAGCTCTGGTTGCAGGGTTGGGCTGGAGGTACTCAGACGTTTTACCCATGACCTCCAGAAGCGCTTTGCTGGTGATATCTGCTTTCTGGTGGTTCACAGAAACAAACAAGGTTCAACAGCCAATGAGATTATGAGTCAAACAATCATTTGGCAGAACACGACATTAATGTTTGATTAAATAAACCAAAAATGTAGAAATACCCTTTCAAGTTCCTTAAAGTCATCGTCCAGTTTGGTTCCTTCTGCACCTCCAACCCTCTCACTCACCATCTGAGAAAAAGAATAGATGTGTGACGACACCATAATCCAAGGTGCAGAAAAACAGTCACAACAGCTAAAGAGTAAAGACAGCTGGTTTTCACACTTTCAAAAGCAGGTTTTCTTTGCTATATTTCTTTTATGCTTTATTCAACATATCCAAGGAAGAATTTTCTCCTTGTCATTCCAGATTTCCCATCAAGGGAGCAAACCCCTTAAAATCTGGATGAGACTGACTTCTGCATAAAAAAACTCCCGTGGACCTAAAAACTACTTTCCCTTTTCCATCTGATCAGCACATTACAGTTTCCTAAAGTACAACTACATCCATGAATTATTTCACCCCTCAAAAATGTTACTTTATTCTTTTTCCCTCCGATCACCCAACAACTTGCAGGCCCAAATGAAAACGCAAAAGTGAGGGAACACATTATTTGGGTCAACTGATTGAGCTATTTAGCAGCACAATGAGAAATAAAACCACAAGACAAGAAAGATCAATCACTCTCTTTAGTTTATTTAATAAACTGACCCAGTTCCACATGTGTGTACAGTGAAATCACCTCATCAGCACACCACAAGGATCTACAACCACATTCATTAAGATCAGGTGATTTAAATCAGGTCTAAGATGTGTAAGACCAAGAAAACCAGGACCTACTGCCCAACTGAAAATTCATTCAAGGCTCCAAATAAAAGAAAACTTGGTACCAATGAAGCAGGAAGCAGAAGTGTACCAGTATGCATATACCAAGATCTTTGCATAATTTATAATAAAATACAAATATTTCAAAACAAATTCAACTGTGTGTGTGTGTGTGTGTGTGTGTGTGTGTGTACAGAAATGTACAAGTGTCAAAATCATTATGGTTGTGAAACTTGCTTCCTGTAATTTTATTAAAACTTCTTCTACTCGAGTTCCAAACAGGTTCGTTTTGTCTGCAGCAATAAAACCGCCTATTTTATTATCAAATTCAGAACCGTCTGGTATGAAAACACCTGCCGTTACATCAAGATAACTAAATCTGTGTACAGTTCAGAGATACACACGGATTCAAATTTCATTTACCAGCAAAGCTTGCACAATGCAAAGATTGTGTTCAACTATGGTTGGGCGGTATCAACGGTATAAGGTAGAAATGATATTAATTTGGCCAACGGTAGAGATTTTGACTATATCGGCCTATCGCGGTAGCGCATGTTGATGACGTCATCAAGCGGCGTCTGTTGAGGCTGAAAGCATGGAGCCTGTGGTGGAGGAAGTTCTCGTAAAGAAGACCGCGTGCAACATCGGTCATTTGGACTTGGTTTGGCTTTAAGGAGTCGGATGTGGAGCAGAACAATATAATCTGCAAAGTATGCCGGAAGAAAGTATTAGCGAATAGAGGGAATACATCTAATGTGTTTTACCACCTCAAAACGAAGCACGTTGTGGAATACGAAGAAACCCAAAAACTTCGTCCTCAACAAACGCCCAGTCAGTCGAGCGGTAAGACATTTTTCACTTTATTTTAAAAAATGTTGTGTTTTGCTAACTTTTACTTGTATTTTTATTTAAAAAGTCCAAAATTTTATTTTTTATTAAAGAATGGTGTGTTCCATTTTTTGGAAAAAGATCTGTTACACATCTTAAATATTACTCGTAAAGCTTTTTGAGTATTGCACAATAAATTTTCTTAAAATGGCATTTTATACTGTTTGAAGTGTGTTTATTCTGCTGCTGCAATGTATCTGGTATGGGAGTATGTTTAGAAACAGTCGTTTTTGACATATATACAAAAGAAAGTCATATATCGCAATATATACTGTTACCTCACATTTTTCAAATTATATCACAATATAGATTTTAGGCTATATCGTCCACCCCTATGTTAAACCTAAAGTCCAATGAAGCCTATTTCTAAAGGTCTCATTCTGTCGTTCTCCCCAAAGTTTAGCAGCAGTCTCTTGTATGAATAAATTACTTGAGTTGTTTTCAGTGGGGAAAAAAAGGCTCTCGCGCTCCTGTTTCAGAGGGTAGAAGTTTGTCGGAGGAATGGGCGAGGGGGAAAGGACAGAATGCGAGTCTTACAATGATCTTGATATGCAAACATGTTGTCTCTGATTGGCTAACATGACGTGACTCTTCCGTTGCATTTGTTGGTTCTTATTTCTTAGATAAAAATGCAACACTGGTGGTTTATTTCCACAAAAACACAAGCCTGAAGGACTTAATGTGGAGTAGCTAATGCTAATGGTTAGCTTCTACTAGCCGAGACATGCTCTGCTCTCTCCTGGTTACAAAATCAACACAGCCTTCCCTGGTCACCAAGGTGGGTTAGTACATGAATGCTAATTTACAGTGTGACATAGATCTGAATAGCTTTTTCTGACCAGAGCGTTTTCCCATCCATTTCCTTTCTGTGGCCAATACAGACAAAAGGGGTAGAATAAAGTTTTATAATGTTGGACATGTATGTGAAACTCAGAGACTGATTGTTTAAAAAAAGTACTAAACGGTTTCTCAGTAAACGAGACCTTTAGGGTAGTTACATAATATGCTAGCTGCTGTTCATGGTAGAACAATCTCATTGCGTAAATAGAGCCAATACGGCAGTGGTCCTCAAATGTCGGCCCGCGGGCCACGTCCAGCCTGCGAGCCCTCTCTTTGTGGCCCCCAAACCCCGCGCAACCCCCCACCCCCACCCCCCCCACCCCATCCCTGACGGCCGACCGGGAGGTGTAGGATAGATAGAGCTGAGGAAAATAATCAAATAATCAATGCGTCGAGATGCGGGCATTCTGCATCATAGAAGAGTACCATAATCAATAAAAGTGGAATGTGGTTTTGTTATTTTAACGGCAGCACCCGCGTAACATCCAGATCTGTCAGAGTGGGTGCTCTCCACTTTTGCCAGGTAGGAAACTTTGGTCCGCTTTTATGTGGTAGGCAGGGCTGAGCGCTGGAGTTGTAACTTGAGACCGAACCTGAACCGAATCAGCCCGATCGGTTCTGTTGCATTTGGGCCGTGAATTATGTTAATTGAGCGGGTTGTCACCGCTCCGCTTGCTCGATCAGCGACTGAGAGAGAGAGAGGGAGAGAGAGGGAGAGAGAGAGAGAGAGGGAGAGAGAGGGAGAGAGAGGATCGGAGGACGCTCCCCCAAACACGCATTATTATTTTCATAAGTTCATTATTATTTCTCCTGGAAGTGCTCAGTCAGACTGAGTGCTGTGATGTCGGGAGATCTGGTCTTGGGGAGGGAGCGTGGCCAGTTACGGCAGCTGCAGTGTGATCATCTGTCTCTTTAATTTAGGGACACGGAGAAGTTTAAAGGAGAGAAATAGAAGATAGAAGTTCTTGTTCCACTTCACTCTTTTGTTTCATGATGATAAACTGATGTTAAATTCAGACCAAACTCACACAAACTCTTATACATCCAGAATGCAGCTTTCCGACATACGGAAGTTCTGACCAACATCGCATTCACACATAGGTTCCAGACATCACCTTTAGTTCCATCCACTCACAGTAAATAATAGTTAACCAATTTGTCAAGTTTTAATTGTTTGTAAAATAAATTCTTACTTTTGTAAACCTGACTGTTTTCTGAATCAAAACGAATGGTGTACAATCCCCTAATAAATAAAGAATCCTAGAATCTTCTGATTAAACACAATAAAGACCAGGCAGGGTGATATTCTATATTTAGATAGAGTATCACAGCTTATTGGTCACAAGTAGAGTTAATATATATATTGAGCTCCTGAAGTACTCAATTTACCTAACCCTACAATTACATCAAGACTGGATTACTGTAATTCATTACTCTCAGGAAGTCCACAGAATGTAGTTAAAAGTCTTCAGCTTGTCCAAAATGCTGCAGCTAGAGTTTTGATGAAAGTTAAAAAGAGAAATCATATCTCTCCTCTCTTAGTTTCACTACATTGGCTGCCTGTTAAATTCAGAATATATTTTAAGATCCTCCTTCTCACATAGAAAGCTCTTAACAATCAAGCTCCATCTTACATCAGTGACCTGATTGTTCCATACGTTCCTAGCCAAGCACTTCGCTCTCAGACTGCAGGTTTACTGGTGGTTCCCAGAATATCTAAAATTAGGATGGGAGGCAGATCTTTTAGTTATCAGGCTCCTCTCTTGTGGAACCAACTCCCAGCTTTAGTCCGTGAGGCAGACACCTTGTCTACTTTTAAGACTAGGCTTAAAACATTTTATTTGATAGAGCCTATGGTTACAATCTGATGTTAGCCTAGATCTGGACATGTGTGGGAGTAGAGGGAGGTGGAGTGTACAGTCGGTAAAGACGACTCTCCCTTGCCATCCACCTAAAAGGCCAGGTTATCCAGAGTTATCCCTGTAGTTATGCTGCTATAGGCTTAGACTGCTGGAGGACACACTGACCACTTTCCACACTCGACTACTTTCTTCTACAGTTTGCTCTTTAACTGTATTATTTCCTGCAATTTCAGCTGTTAACTTCATTTTTTCTCTAAGTGTTTTTCTCCCCAGAAGAAGCTACAATGATGTTCTGCTGAGCTGTGGTGGCCTCATGGAGGGGGAGATCATCTTGAACACTGTTGCTAACCATTTAATCATTCTCCCTCTCCTGATAACACTTTACTTTCCTTGACATTGAATGTGCTATTACTAGTTTACCCGTTTAATTATAGATTCACTAGGATAAATACAATAAAGTTTATCTCTCACCAAATAGAATATTTACTAGGGCTGCACAATATATCGAAAAATTATCATCATCGCGATAACAGGACGTGCGATAGGCCCATCGCAAAGCACGTCAAAAACGGCGATAAATGTTTGGTTCAAACATTTCCATCCGTGTCATACATCAACTTTTTGTAAACCAGCACATTTTTACGCGGAAGTATTATTTGACCAATCAAATGAAGCCCTTCTGATATGCGGCCAATCAGATGGGTCCGTTTACGTAATACCCTTACGTAGACCCTTACCCCAAAATTCCACCATCTCCGCTCCGCTCTGCCCCCGCTTTCTGCTGCCGCTCGCTTCCCTTGTTCGTCATGCTGGCTCAGACTAACGAACGCACTTTGTGCTGAGGTTTCTGGAATTAGCGCGGCTTTCAAACGTGAACGTGAACCCGCTCGGTGTTGTTAAGCAGCTGATAATAACCGGGCTAACCCGACACGTGCCGGTGAACCAACTGACCGTTAGCCCCAGGCTCCTGTTAGCTTCCAGCTAAAAGGCTACAGCACTCTCCTCCCAGTCCCACTCTTCTCAAGAGGGCCTGGAAAAGTTCCCCCACACATCAAAGTGATTTTTCATCTATGAGCTTTTATAACCTTGTTAATCAGGATAGTTGATTTGCTGCTGCACATAAACTGTCAGTCAGAAGCTCTGCTAGCCGGTTATCTTAAGAGAAGCTAGTTCAATTTGTTATCTTGTTATCAGAATCATAGTTGCAGTTTCATCATCTGAGCTGCTTTTTAAGATCTAGGTAAACTTGTTCAATTTGGGGTTAAAAACAAACGTTTTCACATATTTTCCATGTAGTTTTTTGCCGGTTCATCTTCTGAAAGGTAGACAGTTGTTTTTCTCTTTCCCTCAGAAAATCTTAAAACGGTATTCTCCTAGTTTGGCCCAGCACAGTTCACTTCCCAATCACAGCAACAGCCTTATATCATAACCACATAAGTGGAGAAAATGCTCAGTAGCAATGAGAGAATTTGCTGTTGCATTTAAGTGATGTTAACTATTATTTAACATTTAAACTTATTTTATGATTTTTTTTTATTTATCAAAACACCCTGGTAAGGGATGTTTTTCTGTATTTGGAGCATCAGAAAAAGTTTTATGGTGGAGGTGATGTTTTAAAGTCACTGAAAAACTGCATGCATGCAGATTGTTGTTTTGCTGCTAATACAGTAGCAGGTGCAGCTGCATATTTTTTCAATAAAAATGTTATGTTGTAATGGAATTCATGCATTAGTTTGTGTTTGCTATGAGCCCAGAGCAGACGCCACACGCCAGACGACATCAACACTGCATACTTTAGTATTTGTTCATTTATCGTGAGTAATATCGATATCGCAATATTAAGCACTGTTATCGAATATCGCAGGTTTTCCTAATATCATGCAGCCCTAATATTTACTAAGAAGTCGCAATGTAACCATAGAAACATTACTTAGAGTGTGAGTGTGTGTGTGTGTGTGTGTGTGTGTGTGTGTGTGTGTGTGTGTGTGTGTGTGTGTGTGTGTGTGTGTGTGTGTGTGTGTGTGTGTGTGTGTGTGTGTTCTGTCTTCTTGATCTCCAGTGAGTTGTGGTGGATGGCTGCTTATACTGAGCTAGGATCCTCTGGAGGTTTCTTCCTGTTAAAAGGGGGTTTTCCTCTCCACAGTCGCTAAATGCTTGCTTAGTATGACAACTGCTGTAAAGTCACTGACACTAGTCAGTGACTCGATGCAGTTAGCTGGGTTCCTTATATAGGAAACTTTGTTCTGATTGGCTGAATTAATTGACCTGTATTAGAATGTTTATTATGTGAAGTGCCTTGAGACGACTCTTGCTGTGATTTGGAGCTATATAAATAAACTTGAACTGAATTGAATTAAGTGAAACGCGACTCCATCACTGACTCAGTTTGCTTTGTAACGTTGATGTTCTGTCTCCGCAAACAACACAATCCTGAAAGAGTTCTGTCGTATTGTGGAGTTGCTAATGCTAATGGTTAGTTTCTACCTGCCGAGCTCTGCTCTCTCCTGGATGTTAAACCAAAGTCAAAGTCCCATTAGTCATCATCATACACTGGTGAAATTACATCTCTGCATTTGGCCCATCCCCGTGGGGCATGGTGAGCTGCAGCAGTGACTGTGCTTGGGAACTATTTGGGGGTTTACCCTCCAATCCAACCCATTATTGCTGAGTGTCCAATTGGCTCCCATTTTTAAAGTCTTTGATATGACCCAACCATGGATCTGAACCCCAATCTCAGAGCAGACACTCATACCACTAGGCTTATGAGAAGGTCAACAACCTTCACCATTCACGAGCCTAAATGGTTGACTCTAGGAATGCTAATCTAAAGTGTGACATAGATCCAACTGGCTTTTCTAATCTGAGCATTTTCCTGTCTATTTTCTATTAGCAGCTAACACAGGAAATAAGAGTAGAAAACTATTGTCATATTCAGCCTGCATCAGAAACTCAGAGTGACTAATCATATTTAAAAAATATATAAAAAAAATTGTTTCTCAGTGAACATGGTCCTCAAAAATTTCAGGACTGTAACTGCCTTAAGAAAGCAAATAATACAACAAAACAGTATTTTTAGAATTTTTGTATGTTTGACTCTTGTCCTAGTTCATACCTAAATGTCATCCTCCGCTCCATTTATTTCTTTCCAAACCAGACTGACAAGTTCATAATACTCTTAGGTAGTAAAGCATGTGCTAAAAGACGTCAATACCTACAGGAAGTGCATATATGTCTTTACAGCAATGCCTAGCATGTTGAAACATGGCGTGTACTATTTTATATGGCATTAGCAATCTGCACTGCCCTTCTAAAGGTATACAGGAGCTCATAAGGGATATACGCCTTCTGCACACTCGTCCAATTGTATTACTACTGTTGTATCAGCTGTTGAGTGTGCCTACTGTATTAACCCTTGATCACAGAAGACTTAACACTGACAATGAAAAATAACAAGGTGGAAAAATTGATTACTCACTTCCAGGGATAGACCAATATATCAGTCGACTGATATACAGGTGAAACTCAAACAATTAGAATATCGTGCAAATGTTTAATTTAGTGTTCTAATTTTTCCAAGTTTCACCTGTATTGGGACAATATTTATCAATTTTAATGCATCGCCATCAGCCAATATATTGTTTTATTAGAGCCAATTTAAAGTCAGGCATATCCAAGGGCAGCCTGGTGCTCCAGCAGAATTATAATAATAAATATATGTACACTGCTGAAAACATCTGCTTAATTATTTAATACTTTATCATCAACTGACATTTCTTTTTACCCATTTGATATTTAATACTTTTTCAGTTCATTGATTTGTTTGATTGACTTTAATAGTTAGCTATCGACTTAAATACCGCGCAGTGCACAAAATTAAGATTTAATAGTCGGTTAAATTCAGCGTTCAAAAACTGATTCAGAAATGTTGTGACATTTTAGTGCGTAAGGTGAAAACGTCTAAATATCAGCCATGGATACCAGACCAAAAAATTGGTAGCACAAATTGGCCATCAGCTGACCCATGACCTTCAGATCAGTATCAGTATCTGCAATAGAAAAACTCAAATTGGTTGTCACCTAAGTAAAATGGTCATTATTTTTGATGCATCTTCTCCAGGATAGGTCAAATTAGATTCTGCATAAGAAAAAAAGATTATCTCAAAACAAAAACAAAAAATGCCTTTTTCTCTAGTGACTTGGTATTTATTTCTCATAATTAAGTACACATCCACTAAGCATGGATCCAGGACCATTATTCATAAAGGTTCAGCAAAAAACAAACAATAAAGAAAAAGAAATGTAATCAAAACACACTCTTAGTTTGACAAGTCATCACATGTTGACAGTCATGTTTACAGTGACCGCATTGACATCTAAAGTCAAACCCAGCAGTTTCAATTGTTTCCACATCGAACATGATAGCTGCTTTAAAACGAAGAGCATTGTGAAATAAAAGCAACAAACAAGAGTGGAATGTTAAAGCCAGTCATTCGGGTACTTCTACCATTTGTTTCATTGTTTTACAATCAGCCTCCAGGTGGACCAGAGGGAACCAGTACTTCCAGCTGACAAAACAGGCAATGTCACATTGCAAAAGGTTGAGGAATGGATAATGCTTAGCAAAAAAACCCTTTTATTTAGAAAAGTGGGACATTTTAGTTCTTATCTCTGACTTGCTAAAAATAATTTGCACCAGATCCTAAGAGAAATACACGAATTACTATACAAACAACCTGATTCAAATTTACATTTTTGCTCTCATCACCGTTTAACAAGACTAATTAAAACCAGTCACATTAAATATCTTTATTAAATCCTCTTTGTCTGATTGAGCCCAGATAAGCCGAAAACAGATGGTCTTAATCTTCTTCTCCTTACCTTTCATGCTAATTCGGGTCATATTTTGTTTAAATGGCAAACGCTGTGAACGGAACTCAACAGCAAACTTTAGATGCTTCACTTATTTATGAAAACACAAAACGTTTCAATTTAAACAACAATTTAGATGAAGAATCCACCAGTAAATCAGAGATACCGGGTAGGTATGAACTAGAGCTCAGCGTTGCTAACCAAGTTAAGTCAAACCTAAGATTAGCATTAGCTAACCTAAGACTTTTTGTTTACGTTATTTCTGAACAAAAACACACTTAAACACAAGTTTAAAAAACTTAAAACTTGTATTTCCAACGCAAAATCTTATATTCACCAACTTAAAGCGACACCTGCTGAAAATATGTTTTAAGAACTATGAGAATAACTTCAGTTCCACTTTGGTTAACAGTCCTAGCTTAGCATAAAGAGTAAACGTCAGCGAGCTAAAAGTGTGGCGTTTACCTGACTGGCTTTGTAGAACTGCTTCTTAAACCCAGCGACCGACATGTTGCACTGTCAACGTTTCCCCCTGCTCCTGGAACGGGACAATCTCTTAAAAACACAGCGAACACACAGTAGAAACTCAGCCCGAGCTACACCTCTCCAAACTTTGCACCGTGAATGAGAAACTTGCTAGGCAACCACAACTTCCTGCCCTCCAGTGGGAGTGTCCCTCCTGCTCTCAGTCGTATATTATGTCGATTGTCTTCACGCAAGTCTTGATCCTGCTGGTGAAAGTAGGTCAAAACACAAACTATCTCTAAAGTTTAGCATCACTTAGATAATTCACTTTTTTTTCATAGAACGCTTATAAAATTTGTTTGAATTGGAAGTACCATGCTGACATCACCAAAACCATAAATACAGAATTTTTAATGATCTCTAGCCAAATAGATTAAAGGCATTTGAGGTCTCAATTTTAAGTGTAATCAGATAAGATGCTCCAAACAAACGTTATCCGCAAAAGCAGTCATTTATTACATAGGATGGTCGTAAATTAAGTTCAGCAGATTGCTGCATTTCAAACAAAAAGCTCTTTTTATGGTCCTTTTGAGCCTGCAAAAAAAAACCAAAAAAAAAACCTGATGCTTCAGATTATTAACTCTGTAAAGAATTAGCAGTCAGACAGAACTCCATCCATCCATTTTCGACCTCTTATCCGGGGTCGGGTTGTGGGGGCAGTAGCCTAAGCAGGGAGGCCCAGACTTCCCTCTCCCCAGCCACTTGGACCAGCTCCTCCGGAGGAATCCAAAGGTGTTCCCTGGCCAGCCGTGATACATTCCTTTAGGCCTTCTCCCGATTGGACGTGCCTGGAAAACCTCACCAGGGAGACATCCAGAAGGCATCCTTACAAGATGCCTGAGCCACCTCAACTGGCTCTTCTCGATGTGGAGGATCAGCAGGTCTACTCCGAGCCCCTCCCTCCAAACTCCTTTAAAAAATATTAAATTACAGAATCATAATTAGGAAACATTTGCTGCGAAACCAATGTTGACGAAATTCCTCTGAAATAAAACATAAAATGCCAAAAGCATTTATTTAACATAAGAAAAAGCAGCAAATCTGTTGTGTCAGACTCTAAGTTATGATTGTTAACTATTGTACATGATGCAGGTATAACAAAACTGCAGTATGTGCATTGTACATGTAAAACTAAAAGGTGTAAAAAAAAGTCTTGTTCCCTTAACAAAACTGATGAATAATTCATGTTAAAAGCTACCATCAAAGCTGCAACATATCAATGTTTTAGGAAGTTTCTCTTTAACTTCTGCCTCTTATAAATACCAGATATTAAATGCAGTTCTCTGCATATATTTTTTAAAATAATTTGCATATATCTTGTTGTATTTTGAGGATTAGGGTTAGTTCTGTTTTGTAACACTAGACTGACTCGGACCATCTGCTGCAGCAGGTCTGGCTCTTCCAGTGGATGCAGACGTGTTTAAATGATGATAATTTATGACAAATACTTGTTGCAGTCATGCAAACACTAATTCAATAATTCCAACAAGACAGACTTTTTAAAAGAAAAAGAAAGAATTTATTACATTCTCAAAACCACATAAAATGTATCCAATTGAACAACAATATATATCAAGCTGTGTGAGTTACTCTAGAAATAGTAATATACCTCTTGTGCTTTTTTTCATACAGGTAAAAGAGACGGGAGTCAAACAAATGTAACGTTTGTTTGCACTTTTTCTAAGTTTTCTTAAATTAAAAAGGAAAACCCCACTGGCTTTAGGAGACAAAAAGAGTGGAGACACACAAAGAAAACTGTGGAGAAAACACTGATGAAGAACCGAAACTCACAGCAAAGAAACATTAACTCCAATAATTAAATTAATCTTTAATCCTAACCGATTTTTTTTGTTCAATCCTATGAATTTAAAATTGAATGTTACAATATTAGAACAAACATGAAGGGCTTCCACACATTGTAAGCAACGTTCACAAAAAATAGAACATACTGTACGTCCACAGTGATCATGGTTACGGATCTTAGGTGCAAAGGTGTGGGGAGTACAAGGCTAAAAGACAACACTTCTTTATTTATCATAAAGGGACAAGAGATTGCAGCTAGCTCCCTGAGCAGCTGGCAGTAGGTCCTCGACATTTCCTCGAGAACATCACAGCACCCGATGTAAGACACGATCAGCATCTCAATGCGTAACAACCTTCAGAAAATGTGTTATATACATGAAAACTGTAAACATTTATGGCTGAAAATGTGTGAAAGACGTTGAAAATAAACTAACAACAAACTGACTTCTGTCTTACTGGCATGGAAGCTAAACTCAGGGGGGCAGCTGGTAGCTCTGTCTGACTCTGTGTCTGGTGAGAAAGAGGAAAGTATAAGTGCTTTGGAAAAGTGTCGGGTTCAGGACCAAAGAGGAGAGAAACTCCTAATGTACAAAATAATACAAGTGCGCCAACCAGCCGAGAGGGTCATGGTGCATATGGACCGCCTTGATTCCCAGCCTGAACTGAAACACTTGGAGTGAAATAGTTACAGAAGTGGGTTTGTATTGTTCAGACTGCTGGTTAGAAACAGGCAGGGAGACCCGGTGTTCCCTCGTTTATCACACAGTCCCTGAAGTCATCCTTTTGCCTTGCTTTCTTTAGTCCTTAGTGTCCAGTTTGTCCTCTTGTCTGTTTTAGCCTGGGTGGGCAGCAGCAGTGCTGAGTGGAAACTCACATTTCCAAAAGCAGGTTATTTTTCTTTTAACTGCCCGCGTTTGAGTGTGCTGCCTCCCCCGCTGTGTCAAATCAGCAACAAGTGTCAAGCACCTCGGTTGCAGGATGGGCACGCTTTGCCTTTACGCCAAGAGGGGTGGGTTGTTGCCTAGGAAACCTGAGAATACTGCCAAAAAGAGGGGAAAAAAATCCCGAAAATAGGTCTGAGTCCAAATATCAGCATTCCTCACATCACTTTGTGCGTCCTCTTCTACCTTACTATCTTCCTTCTCCCTCACTCATACTCTCTCCACATACTTAGTTACCTATTTACATTCTTATTTAAAATATACGTTTTGTAAATGTGTATATATATATTACAGATAGTTTCTGTCTCTAAGTGGCATTTACAAGGAAAGGGGTGTGTGGGACTGAGGTTTATCTTTGCATTACAAGAGCCTATGAAAGGCAGCACCGAACACCGTGGACTGAAAATGTGTCTAACTGTGCTTGAGCTAATTACTAAGTTTACTCTGAGTTGTGGATCACGTTGTGTGTTTCTATTTAAATCAGAGAAAACTCTGATCTGTGATCTTGGTCCCTAAGTGAGGGTCGATGAAAAGATGCTGCTTGTTTGGATAAACAGTGAAGGACCAACTTTACGCTTATTCTACATGTGAAACTTTGTTTTAGCATGACAGGACTGTACATTCACTGTTGTTGGGTTCTTGCTTGTGCACTGGTGCTGTCTGATGAGGTACATTCATATCTTTTAGAGTTTGGAGCCTTTTACATGCCACACGGGCAGCTGTGGCATTATTAAGATGCCCGTTTATTTGTCTTTGCTACAATATACACAGGGACACGGGCATGTGTGGTCTGTAGTGTAAGGTGCTTATCCCTGCTGGAATAGTGGAGGACTACTTCGGGAGATGACATATTTAAAGTCCTGGATTGTCTCTCAAATTGCTGGTTGCTGAGGCTCAACCTATCTAACATTTTATGTCTCTCCTTTTGATCCTCTACCTCCTAACATTCTCCCCATCTCTCCTGTCTGTCTATCTGTCTATCCGTCCGTCTAGCTGTCAGTGGAGTCTGGCAAAGACAACTCGCTGCCAAAAACTTCCCGGTACAACGGTGGAAAACTGTAGGCGGTCTCTGGGTGGACCAACCGGAAAAACTCCAGTTTATCAACGTGGAGGTTACAAATAGACTTCATTATGGGCAGCTTGGACACCATCTGTGTGGGCAGAAAAGCAAAAAGTAAAGTTAATGTCTGCTTTTTGGTACAAACCCTTCCACAATTGTACTACAACAAGCAACTTTACATCCTAAAACTATTATAATTGCTTTGGATCAATTTAATTCTAGACCAAAATTGAGAAGTGGTAAATGTGTTGGTACAGAAAGTAATTAACATTTCTTCCTCTAAGCTCTATAGGCCAGTCTGTGGCTTGTGGTGTACCTCAAGGATGTGTATTTGGTTCAATTTTTTTGGTGCTATCTCTTAGCTCACAATTTAAAGACCCAATTTCATACATTTATATGCTGATGACACTTGGCCTTATTTAACACTTAAAATTGACTCTGGTGGTTTAAATATGAGAATTAGTTTGTGATTATGTTCAAATTTGACCAAATATTTCCTAAAAATAAAACAAAGAATCCAATAATCAGTTTACGCCTTACTTTATTTCTAAAAATGTTTGATGAAGATGCCTACCAGTAAAAAAACAGCATGAGAAACTGAAAGGCAGGACTGATTGTGTGTGTTTACCTTGTCGAGTTTCTCTTCAGAAGCACCATTCTTCTGTAGACTGTGCTGCAGAGCCAGGTAGACTTTCTCTTGGAGTTTGTGAACCTTCTGGCCTTCTGTCAGCCAGGGACGATCTACAGGAGCAGAGACAATCCCACTTTCAGATCCTGTTTCAAACCTTGGCTCTCCTCTGCTTTTATTTGAAGTAATTTAAATTAGTTTTAAAATACAAATATTTCTTTTGCAGTAAACCAAAACCTTTTTTAAAGTGACATTGTGTATTTTTCCTGGCGATAGGGGGCAGTAGATACCCAAATCATTGCAAGCATGCAGTATTTTTGTGTTGGAGTAAGACCTTACCAATGGATGCTCATTAGGGCCAAAAAGCCCTGAGGAGTGCAAACTTTAGCAAAATAACAATCACATCAGACTCCCTTCCATCACTGGCAACAAGTGGAGCTAAATGTGTAAAACAACAACTTTGAAGAATGATGAAAGTTTTGTTACCGTTTGTTACAAATCAGTAAATGGATTTTGCCCTCATGGGCTCCCGTAGCAGAAAACATGGAATCTAATATGGTGTCGCCCAGAGACTTTGACCCGCTCCAATGTATTTTAGACCTGATTTTTATGGTTGCATGTTAAACAAACTAAATGAGAATCCGCACACTTCAATCTGCGATGTAGGAGTTTATTCACTTTATTCAGGAGTTTATAAACTCCTACATCACAGATTGAAGTGTGCGGATTCTCACTTTGTTTATTCCACTTTTTGATCCAGCACCTTTTCCCAGACGAGCGGTGACTCCTTCTACTCTATGGTTGCATGTTACAAAGCTGCCAATATTTTTCAACAACTGGGCATCTTTTAATTCATTTTCAACAACATTTTGATGGATATTTCCAGAAATGAATGGGGAAAACTACACATTGTCTCTTTAAAGATCATTCACAATGACTTCAACTTGCTTACAGCAGATTGTTTAGCAAGCACTACTTAGTTTCACAAGAGCTGTGGATAAAATGTTCAATTGACAACATCCTGCTTTGAAGTACAAACTGTAAAGTTGACTATAATTTAGAATAAATAGAAATTTTAGCAAAAGTGAAACTTCCTAGCGTGAATAACACATAGTGGCCCTTTGTCGTGAAAGCAGCTGTTTGTCTTACCACGGACAAAACAGAAGTGGGTATTATGTTCATCCCTTTGCAGAACAATGTAAACTTGTTCCTCAACAGTGCTCGTCTTCATGAGTTTTGTGCGAGTGAGGAAAAGAGAAGTGAAGATGATTACCAGGTGATAAAAGGACAGCAGCACTAAACAGAGCCATCTCCTCATCAGAGAGCTGCAGCCGACAGAGTCCCATCCCTAGCTCGAACACCGCGCTGACCAGATCATCACAGCCTGCACACACAGCACGCCATCTTTAATCAGGAGGGTCAAAATGACTAATCCCTATTCCTCAGTAAACTAAAACATCCAAACATGGTGGTGTTTCAATTTAGGAAACTATGAGAATTATGCACTTAGCTACAGTGAAAGAATAATGATCATTTTAAAATGTCTCCTCAGTCATTAACCCTCCCAGGCTCAAAATAATATTCGATAAAAGGACGAACAACTAAGTCCTTCAGGGGTACTTCTGAGTTAAAACATGCTCATGAAATCCGTATGTGGAGTAACCAGGTCGGTAGGTTTTAACGTTGCAAATCTGCAACGCCTGCCTCCAGAGGGTTAACCACAGGAATCAAATATTCAAAGTAAAAATAATGCAAATTCGTCATTTTCCCACTAGATGGTATTGTAACATTGATGTCGTGTAGGAGCCGAAACCCCAGTAACCTTAAATTAAGTGAAACAGCAACCCTCACCGAGGGCTTTGAAGAACTGGGGTGAAGCAAATTTCCCGTGGAAGAAAATGGTGTTGTTGTTGCTGTTTAAGGCGCGGCACATACGTATGAGCAGGACCTCCAGGCAGCCTATAAAGATGTAGCCACAAACACAGCAACGGACATGGAAAGGAGGGAGAACAGAAAAAGACCCCCAAATACTCCAACATGCACAAAACATAAAAGAAAACGTAAATAATTTTGATTCAGATTTGTGGACAGCATGTAAAAGACAATTTTGAACCATTTAAGAATCCAGCAGTTCAGAACATTTACAGAATTGTTAAATATATGTATTTTATAGTCCCAGACATTTATGTTTAATACAAAAATGTGTTTATCCAGAATTAAGAGTAGATGTGTGTAATTAATAAAAAAAAAACACAACAACACATGGATGATTTAAAAACAAACAGGGCAAAGGTAGAAGTTTGGAGACAAAAAAAAAACAAGCAGAAAAGAATTCAAGTTAGCAAGATTAAAACTTTTTTATTTCTTTTGGATAACTCTGTTAATGTAGTTGGACATATTTGAAGGTGCACTGACCTGCTTTCAGCAAAATGATCTGATCATTTTGGCACAGGTCCATAAAGCCAGCGATGCGTTTGGCAAACTCCACCACGTACTGGATGGCGTTGGTGATGTGGTGTGCACACTGCTGCCACATCCACTCAGCTGACTGAAGGAGAGCACCACAAAACCCATGTTTTATAAACGCATGCCACATGGAAAACAATACGTTATCTGTTTATGCACCTTATTTTGAAAGGCCCGAGTTTCCTCAGGCGAGTACTGGACCCAGGTGAATCTCTTCATGTCTTCAGAACTGTACTGACACGTTTCCAAGTGAGACTTTACAATGCTTTGTGTGATGTTCTCTGCAAAAGAAAACACAAGGACCTCAATGCGGCCCCATTCTGGAGCAGGTTCCTGATCACGACAACTGTTTGACCCACGCCACCTTTAATTAGATGCTTTGCTTAATCTTCTCGCCTTACATGCGAGATGTTTCCCACCTCCTGCGCTTTACTTCCTCCAATCACATTATCTAATTTCTTCCTTTATAAGCCCTCAGAACCCCACGGAAAACAGATAATTTTTGCCAGAAAGAATCTAATAAAACAGAAAGGCTTTTCTCCTCGAGGTCTCTGGAGGCTCCTCTGGTAAAGTATTTGCCCTCTTAAATGTATAAATATCATCATTCCTCTCCCACTCTACAAACACATACCTTGTTTTGCTCGTTTTGACCAAACCACAGCTGTAAATTCTCAGCTAAACACCCATGCTGCCTTTTTCTCTCAGATCATTTAGAAATTCCTACTAGGAAGCACACATTATTCATTTTCTCTTAATATATAAACGACTTCCTTTATTTCTGAGCCTGGTAATCTACTCCTCTAAAAAACAGGACTGCACCAGAACTGCTGAGAGCCCTTTAATGGGAAACATCTGGAAGAAGTATTCATTTTGCATGAAGCAGGAAATTAACATGACACACTGCAGCCATATGAGAAAATATAGGTCTTGTTAAATCAGGCCTGTCTTTAATATCCTGCCCATTATGACCTCCTTAACGCACGTACGCCAAGGCAGAGCGACCATGTGAGAAATAAAGACACTTTATTCCGTTGTCATTGAGTGGGTGGTGAATAATGAAATGCTGTTGATCATTTTCAAACTCACCAAGGTCTGTTATTGAGCAGTCATAAGGCAGATGGTCCAACAGTGCACGTCTGCGCCCCAGCAGCTGGTGTGTGTGCAGAAGCTGGCTCCCATTGGTGTCTGCTGTGTCCAGAATGGTCTGCTGTGGGGAGTTCTGATTGGACATGGGCGAGGACGAAGAAGAAGATGATGAGCTGGAGGTGTTCCCGGTGCTCGCTCCTCCGCCTCCGAGCAGCTCCAGGCTGCAGTACTCGCTGGCCTCCTCGGGGGTCAGCGGCAGGTCAAACAGGTCAGGGAGCGCCGCAATGTCATCTAGGTCGCTGAGTGTGGAGGTGGAGCCGCCGCTGCTGTAGGACCGGCTCAGACCCTCTTCCCCATCGTCTGTGCTGCTGCCACACACGCCGTCCTCCCCGCTGAAAGACAGAGAAGTAGATTCCCCGCTGCCGGAGCCGGCACACTCCTGAGACTTCTGATGCTTCTGAACCTCGGCGTAGAGGCTGTCGCGCTGCTTCTTTGACATACGACCAAATTTAACAGCTGCAGAATGAAAATATAGCGATCAAAAATAAGTTTTACAGTCCTTGAACCACTTACATATGTACCTTTTCTTCATTTTATTCAAATCCATTCACAAGTTAAGCATGTAAAGACTCTAAAGAACATATTTACCATCTCGGCTCATGCCCAAAGCCAGACACTTCTGCAGACGGCAGTGCTGGCAGCGGTTACGATTAGTTCGGTCGATCAGACAGTTCCTCTGACGAGAACAAGAGTACATGGCATTGTTCTGCTGGCTGCGTCGGAAGAAACCCTGGATACACACGCAAAAGCCCCAACATTATTGTTAAAAACTGGGCAGGTTAATACTGTGCTACCCATTCTGAGGGTTTTCCACTCACCTTGCAGCCTTCACAGGTGATGACTCCGTAGTGGATTCCCGAGGACTTGTCCCCACAGATCTTACAGGGGATGACCTCGATTTGAGCTGCAGGACCAAAACCACAAGTCAGAAGACAAGTCAGTGTTTAATCAGTCAAGAACAGCTGTTGGCTTGTTTTCACTAGCAAATATAAAAACAACACAATTCTTACTGGAAACACACTTTTTAGACAAAACACGGAGGTCCACAACAGTCCATATTTGGTATTATTTAGCCTCAGATGGGCTGACTGACGTCCGCCCACCCAGAGTCAGAGTCTCACTCAGCTTTTCACTTTTAAATCTTGATAACTTCTGCATCTTTCAACATTTTATCGGAAATTCAGGCACATCTTATTGTATGTTTGAGCTCTGGCTTGTAATGCTGTGGTGTTTCCTCCACAGATTTCCCTTAAAGTGAGTGTTTTATCATTTGTTAATCTAAATTTCCACAGATGAGCTCCAAACACAAACAGGAGTGTGTGTGTGTGTGTGTGTGTGTGTGTGTGTGTGTGTGTGTGTGTGTGTGTGTGTGTGTGTGTGTGTGTGTGTGTGTGTGAGGATGTTTTAGCCTGAGCTAAAGATGTTCTCTCTCAGGAAAAGAAATGTGAGGAAGAACGCCCGGCAGGCAAAACACACCATATGGAAATCTGTGTTTTCTTAACAACACAGCGAGGAATGGCAGAAAAATGCTGCTTGAGGAATGTTTTTCTGTTGATATTAAAACCACATGTATCTGGACGTTTTGGGGGAAGAAAGCAGCCTACGGGTCAGCGGAAAACATAATGAAGCACAAACTTTTACTAGCGTGCAAACTTGTTTCCCTGACAGCAAGTTCTAGTGGATGATTGCTGCTGGGGCACATGGTATCAGCATCTGGGTGTTTTACAAGATGTGGATAAAAAAATCATCCAGGAGACGATGGAAGAAAATTCTGAGAATGCTTAAATTAACACACACCACCTCCACATGACGTTCAGCTAATGTGCACCAACGAGCCGTTACATTAAAGTCCCATTAGTTGGAGATGTGTGTGCGAAATTTGTTCTCCGCATTTGACCCATCCCCTGGGGGAGCGGTGAGCTGCAGGCACAGCCGCGCTCGGGAACTATTTGGTGGTTTAACCCCCAATCCAACCCCTTAATGCTGAGTGTCAAGCAGGGAGGCATTGGGTCCCATTTTTTCAAATGGGCCATTCCCATCTGTACCGGGTCGGCCCGGGCCGGGTAGCGTAGGTCGTTTACATATCTGGGTGGCCTGGTATTTTTCCGGGCCAACCAAGGCTCATTCTCAGCCCTCTTCTCGAGGGGTCTGCTTCAGGCCGACCAGGGCCAACACACCCACTGCTGACAGCAAATTCACACCTTCCATTAGAGCAAGCCTCTGATTGGTGGGTAGAATCAGCCCACATGGGCTTAAGACAAGGATGTGTGGAATCAACCGGGCCAGGCTGGGGCCGACTGGGGCTACCCGGCCCGGGCCGACCCGGTACAGATGGGAATGGCCCAAAAGTCTTTGGTATGACCCGACCAGGAATCGAACCCCTGATCTCCCAGTCTCAGGGCGGACACTCTACCACTAGGCCACTGAGAAAGGTTTAGGCCACTGATGTAATTTGTATAGTCTCTAAATGTAACACACACACACACACACACACACACACACACACACACACACACACACACACACACACACACACACACACACACACACACACACACACACACACACACACACACACACACACACACACACACAACAAGTACACAGTAATAGATAATTATGTGTTGGAGCAACTAATGCAGTCAAAGATAAATGCACTTAAATATAAGTTAGTATAAATTAAGACAAACCAGTGAAATGTATACAGAAATTTGCTTATTTTTACTATAAATATAAACAACTCAGAAAAATAATTTCAGGCACATTTCCAAGTACTATACACTGTTTTGTTTAAGTTATAGTAACAGTGGCATATTCAAAGTGACACCACCAACATCCGGCGGTTGCTCTGACGAAGGCAGTAGTGAAACGTCAAAACATGTCAGCAAAGGTAACAACAAACCCTTATAACTCTGCATAACGAAGAACAAAAGAAAATTAAAGCTGCAAGCAGCGTCGTTCGGCCCTCGCAGCTCCGCGCCGCTCCGGCCTGGCCGGCAGCCCGGGGCACCAGGGCATGTCTGGCAGAACAGAAACGTCAATCATCCCGTCACCGGAAACAGCAAATGGCCTCCTAGTCCGCACCTCACCCTGACTAAGCATCCCCTCTGAGCTCACCATTAAATTGAATTGTAAGGTTACGGCATACGCAAGAATTCGCCATGGCATCAAAGCCCCTCCCTTTCTGGAAAGCTATCAGATTTGAATGGCCATTACAGCATCATGAAGACAGTGCATGACCTAGGTGTCATGTTGACTAAATTAGAGGGGACAAATATGGGCATTTCAGCATAAAATAATAACTTCCTTTAGTCAGGGGGCGGGGCTTAGATGATGTCAGCTGTCCACATTGTCATTGTTTACAGAAATGGTCAATGATCACACAGACAAAGTTCGAAAAAGATCTGATCATGCACATGGGAGTTATTAAGTCAAGTAATGGCGAAAGGTCAAAGTTTGAGGCTTAGCCACGCCCACACCTTTCAACTTTTGAAAAATCCGACGGTTGAATTTTTTCCCCTATGCCTTAAGAGTATATAGCAGAAGTTTGAAGGCGATTGGTGAAAAGGGCGACGGAGCATCACTCTCCAAACAACGTGTGCGAAAACCACTAAATCGCGTACTTGGACCAAAATGGCCGACTTCCTGTGCAATTTTGTGCTTGGCTCCAAGAGACTTTTTTGTAGGTCCTGGGACACCACATTAGTGTACCAAATTTCGTAATCCTCAGTGAAAGCATGGCTTGGGGCTATTAGTTTAAATGGTCCTAGGGGGCGCTATTTCAGAAATTAGGCCACGCCCACATATTTCAGCTGTCTATGTCTCTTTGGGGTCAGACTAGGATCACTCACCAGAAGTTTCGTAACGATATCACGATAAATGAAGAAATGAGAGGCAAACGTATTTCCATGGCGTGATGGCGATTTTCGCCATGCTCCCAAAGCCCCGCCTTTTTTTGAAACCTTCCAGTACTGGATACCAAGTGACCTCAAGTTGTCTACTGCTATTTGCCAGAGACTCCTGCTGATTGGGTAAAAGGAGTCCAGTAGGGAGCTGTGAAAAAAAGAGTGGCGCGGCGACAGGTCAAAGTTTGAGGCTTAGCCACGCCCACACCTTTCAACTTTTGAAAAATCCGACGGTTGAATTTTTTCCCCTATGCCTTAAGAGTATATAGCAGAAGTTTGAAGGCGATTGGTGAAAAGGGCGACGGAGCATCACTCTCCAAACAACGTGTGCGAAAACCACTAAATCGCGTACTTGGACCAAAATGGCCGACTTCCTGTGCAATTTTGTGCTTGGCTCCAAGAGACTTTTTTGTAGGCCCTGGGACACCACATTAGTGTACCAAATTTCGTAATCCTCAGTCAAAGCATGGCTTGGGGCTATTAGTTTAAATGGTCCTAGGGGGCGCTATTTCAGAAATTAGGCCACGCCCACATATTTCAGCTGTCTATGTCTCTTTGGGGTCAGACTAGGATCACTCACCAGAAGTTTCGTAATGATATCACGATAAATGAAGAAATGAGAGGCAAACGTATTTCCATAGCGTGATGGCGATTTTCGCCATGCTCCCAAAGCCCTGCCTTTTTTTGAAACCTTCCAGTACTGGAGACCAAGTGACCTCAAGTTGTCTACTGCTATTTGCCAGAGACTCCTGCTGATTGGGTAAAAGGAGTCCAGTAGGGAGCTGTGAAAAAAAGAGTGGCGCGGCGACAGGTCAAAGTTTGAGGCTTAGCCACGCCCACACCTTTCAACTTTTGAAAAATCCGACGGTTGAATTTTTTCCTCTATGTCTTAAGAGCAGATGGCAGAAGTTTGAAGGAGATTGGTGAAAATGGCGACGGAGCATCACTCTCCAAACAACGTGTGCGAAAACCACTAAATTGCGTACTTGGACCAAAATGGCCGACTTCCTGTGCAACTTTGCACTTGGCTCCAAGAGACTTTTTTGTAGGTCCTGAGACACCACATTAGTGTACCAAATTTCGTACTCCTCAGTCAAAGCATGGCTTGGGGCTGACAGTTTTAATGGACCTAGGGGGCGCTATTTCAGAAAATAGGCCATGCCCACCGGATGTTCACATCAGATCTTTTGAGGGGCCGGACTAGGATCACTCACAACAAGTTTCGTGACGATATCTTTAGAAATGACGAAATGGAAGGCAAACGTAAGGCCATGGCGGTACGCCTGACTTCGCCGCGCCGCCACAGCCCCACCTTCTGCCGAAAACTCCCATAAAGTGACGCCAAGCAACCTCCACTTGTCTTGAGTTAACAGCTACAAGATTGTGGTGATTAAGTGAAATGGGGCAATTTGGGACCTTTCACAGTAAAACTTGACCTTTTTGGTCCTGAGGGGGCGGGGCTTGTGTGATGTCATCATCCGACCATTCAATTTACTTTGTGGCTGGATGACGAATGACCACAGAAAGTTTGGTAATTCTATTCCTTTCAGTTATGAAGTTATAGCAATTTAAAATTTTTTGGCGAGTAGTCAAACTTCGAGGCCTGGCCCCGCCCCTTCAACATATACAAAAACTCAGAATCCTTGTCTCATTTTGTTCGCCCATTCCTTCTGAGCAATTTTACACAAGTTTTGAGACGATCGTGCGAAAAATGATCGAGCAATCCAATCAGAAACGGACCCTAAAAACGGCAAAAACGGCTAAAAATCGCCATTTCAACCCAAAATGGCCGACTTCCTGTTTGATATTGACCATGCTTGCAAGAGACTTTTCTGTGCGGACTGGTGAGTACTACAAGTGTACCAAATTTCATAACTGTACAATAAACTAAGCTTTATGGAGAGGGTTTTTTTTCACTTTGTAGGGGGCGCTGTTCAGCCATTTTCTTTGAGATTTTTTTGGGACCTTTAAAATATCAAAATTTTCACTAGGCCTGACA